CACGCCCCGCCCCCCCCGCCTCTTCCAGGCCCCACCCACCCCCGCCCTTCGTACCCCCCCCTCCTTTCGCCCCCCTCCTCCCTCCCTCCCTCCCCAACCCCCCCCCCGCCTCCGTGCCCCCCCCTCCTTTGCCCCCTCCCCTCCAATCCGCGCTCTGGCACCTCCGCGGCCCGCCGCGGCTCCCTCCGCGCGGCGGCGGCACCATGGCGCGAGCGGCAACGCCGGCGCCGTGGCCGCGCCCGCGCCCGCGCGGGCCAGCGCCGCGCGCGCCGCGGCCGGCGGCGCGGAGCGGCGCACGCCTGGGGCGCGCGCCGCATGTCGCGGGCGCCCCCGCGACCTGCGCCCGCGGCCGCCGCGCGTCACCGAGAGCGTGTCGGGGGGGGGCGGATCGTCCCTCGCCGAGCGCGTTCCGCCTTTTGCGAATCTACTCGCAAACCTCAGAAAAAAAGAGGAAGAGGTACCCATACCTCTACCCTCCCCCCGTTTTCCCCTTTTGGGGCCTCCTGGGCCTCTGTCGTCGCCACCGCTGGATTCGCCTCGAAATCCTGGTCAGACCGCACCCCAGGAGAGGTCTGGGGAGTAGCGGTATCGGTACCTTGTGGTGTCTCCAGTCCCCGCGGCGGATCCAGACCGTTTGCGAGTAGTTCCGTTGCGAGCAGTGGAGCGCGCGTGTCTAGTCGCGAATGGCCGCCCCAGGCCCATACTCGTTTCGACGGCGAGGGAGGGGGGGAAGGGAGAAGGAGGAGGCCCTCTCTCAGAAGGCCAGCGGGGCCTCTCAGAAGCCCTCCGCCCTGCCGGGAGGTCCTCCGTGCCGCCGGGGGATGCCCAGCGCATAAGCTCCTCTCAGCAGGCCGGGGGGACTCTGCCGAGCCTCCCGAGAGAAGGCCTCGGGCCTCTTCGCTTCGCCCTCTGGCCTCGGGCTCGAACGCCACCGGGGGCGGGAGGTATAGGCTCTCAGGGGGGTGCACGCGCCGACCCACAGGCGTCGGGAGGGAACAAAAACACACACACACAGACACAATGAATCGCCGACTCCCAGGAAATTATCCCGGCGAAGGGCCCAACCATATGCAGTTGTCGGTACCGCAGTTGTGAAAGTCTTCTTCGGTGAAACTCCCTATGGGGCCACGAAGCGCTGCAATGGGTGGGGGGGAACGCTGTTCTGGGTGAGTGGTGTGTCGAGTAAGGTTTCCGGGGCGCATGCGGACGGTCCCACTGGGGGCTTCGGTGGAGCTCCCTATGGGGCCACGAAGCGCTGCACTGGGTAAGTGAAAATGCCAAATTGGGCTTCCGGGACACATGCGGACGGTCCCACTGGAGGCTTCGGTGGAACTCCCTATGGGACCACGAAGCGCTGTACTGGGTGGGTGAAAATGCCAAATTGGGCTTCCGCGACGCATGCGGACGGTCCCGTTGGAGGCTTCGGTGGAACTCGCTATGGGACCACGAAGCGCTGTACTGGGTGGGTGAAAATGCCAAATTGGGCTTCCGGGACGCATGCGGACGGTCCCACTGGGGGCTTCGGTGGAGCTCACTGAAGGGCCACGAAACGCTGTATTGGGTGGGTAAAAATGCCACGTTGGGTTTCCCGGACGCGTGCGGACGGTGGCATTGGGGCCTTCGGTGGAGTTCCCTACGGGGCCACGAAATCCTGGAGTGGGTGGGTAAAAATGCCACAATGGGTGTTTCGGGACGCTTGCGGGCGATCCGACTAGGGCCTTCGGTGAAACTCCCTGTGGGGCCACAAAACGCTGCACTGGGTGGGTAAAAATGCCACATTGGGTGTGCGGGACGCATGCGGACGGTTGCACTGGGGCCTTCGGTGGAGCTCCTTGTGGGGCCACGAAACGCTGTAATGGATAGGCCAAATTGCCAAATGTGGATGTTTCAGGACGCGCTCGGACGGTCCCACTGGGGGCTTCGGTGGGGCTCCCTATGGCGCCACGAAGCGCTGTACTGAGTGGAGCGGACGCATGTGGACGGTGGCACTGGGGCCTTCGGTGGAGCTCCCCATGGGGCTACGAAGCGCTGTACTGAGTTGGGGGACGCATGTGGACGGTGGCACTGGGGCCTTCGGTGGAGCTCTCTCTCTCTATGGGGCCACGAAACGCTGTACAGAGCGGGGGGGGCGCATGTGGACGGTGGCACTGGGGCCTTCGGTGGAGCTCTCTATGGGGCCACGAAGCGCTGTACAGAGGGGGGGGGCGCATGTGGACGGGGCACTGGGGCCTTCGGTGGAGCTCCCCATGGGGCTACGAAGCGCTGTACTGAGTTGGGGGACGCATGTGGACGGTGGCACTGGGGCCTTCGGTGGAGCTCTCTATGGGGCCACGAAAAGCTGTACAGATTGGGGGGGACGCATGTGTACGGTGGCTCTTGGGCCTGCGGTGGAGCTCCCTATGGGGCCACGAAACGCTGTACTGAGTTGGGGGGGCGCATGCGGACGGTTCCACTGGGGGCTTCGGTGGGGCTCCCTATGGGGCCACGAAGCGCTGTACTGGGTGGGGGGGACGCATGCGGACGGTAGGAGGAGGAGGGGGCCGAGGAGGAGGAGGAGAAGGAACGCGAGGACCGTCTCTTCAAAACGAGAACCCAACACCACAGGATGGTTGGGAAATATGAGAAAATATGGGAAGTGGGGGGAAGACAAAAACCCGTTTGCGTCCACATGCGTCCATGCATCGTCGATGGGAGGCCGAGCCCTTAGTGGGCCCTGGAAACGACAGGACCGTTTTTGTTTCCGGTTCCGTTTTGCTGTTTTTTGCCGGTTCCGTTTTGCCGTTTGTTTGCCAGTTCCTTCGCCGTTCTTTTACGGGTTCCCGCTCCAGTTCCAATCCTGGAGCCGTTTTTGTTGCCGTTTCCGGTCGCCGTTTTTTTTTGCCGTTTTCATTTTCAAGGGACATTTTTTCGGAAACAGTGAAAAAAACGGCCTTGCCGTTTCCGGGGCCCACGAAGGCCGAGTCCAATCCGCCTAGGATCATGCGGGCTCCAAGGGCTGGTCCCCCCCGAACGTTCCCCCCCGGGCCGCATCGATCGACCTTCGAGCTTAGATCTAGGAGGTTCGATGCTCTTGGAGCGTTGTCGCGCCATGCTGCGCCTCTGGGGAACTCACCTCGAGGGCCGCATCCGCCTCGAAACTGCGGTCAGCACGCACACGGCGTCGAGTCCAGGGCCGAGTTTTGCCGCCCAGAGCTGGCCGTCCGGCGTCTCTCAGAAATCGAGGCGGCCGGTTAGTTGCCGTGGCCAGTTTCGAGCTTTGGGCGGGTCGAGAGACGGCTCGAGATGAGAAGCCTGCCAGCCGCAGAGAAGAGGGTCGAGCCTGTCCCCTTTCAGGCGGATTTAGGACGAGAAGAAAAATACCCTAACAATACCCCAAAATGGTAAAACAAATCTTCCCCATATTTTGTTTGACTATTTTGGAATCGCCCCCCTGTAGAGGGACAGGCCCGACTTCATGCCAGCCGCAAAGAAGAGTGTCGAGAGGTCAGGGGGGCCCACACATGCCGCAAAGAACGTCGGATCGCTTGGTGGCTTGGTTTGGCTGTTGTGCGGGCTGGTCTGGGGCAGCTTGCGCCATGTGCGGATGTACAGGCGCTCCGCCTCCGCAGCCTTGTAGCAGCGACTGGTCGCCAGCTAACGGGAGGTGTCAACACCCAGCTGCTCGCGGCAAGTCCCACCACTTTGCCATTCCAGGGCTCTCGGAGGCATCTGTTCGAGGGGTCACGGGGCGTCGTGGCCTGTGAATCCAGCGGCGTCGAAAGTTGCAGTGTGCGTTGTTGGTTGAAGTGACGGTCAGGATGCTTTCAACGTGATGTCACATTTCGGCCGTCTTGACTTTATCTAGGATCAGTTAAGGTCGTCCTCGGGCGGAGTAATCTGGAGGATGAAGGACACGCTGATTAGGACGGGGGGAAAGATGAAGAAGAGGATCACAAGAAGGAAGAGGAGGAGGAGGAGGAGCAGGAGGAGGAGAGGGAGCATGTCAGTGGACGGGTGCGGCGTGGAGCATCATGATGGTGATGATGATCAGGAGGAGGTGGAGGCAGTGGAAGAGGAGCAGGGTGAGGAAGGTCGGTAACATATGATCTTATTGTCTACACGTCGTGGGAGCTCTCATTGTCTTCATTTGGATCGTCTGCGGGCTGTTCTGGGCTCCTGTGTGGCCAGTTTTGGGCGTCCATTGGGGCCCACTTGGGTGTTCTTTTTGCATGTTGGGGCTCCCTTGGGCCATCTGGGGGCTGTCCTGGCCATACGTGAAGTCTTTTGAGGCCGTTGTGAGGCCGCCTTGGGCCGTCGAGAGGGGCCCTGCAATGTCGTCTTGGGTCCTTCCGCAGGCCCTCTTGGGCCTCTTGGGGGGTTCTCTTGGGGTCGTCCTGGGGCTAGTGTGTTAATTGGTACGTTTCCCGCCCGCCCACCCGCTACGTCGAAGTAAATCTTCGGGATGAGAGCCACACCGTGTAGTGAAAGGAAAAGACATGATACCAGAGAACAAAAACCAATCAGGGCTATAGGGCTAGGGGGCTATAGGGCTCTTGGGCTATTGAGCTATAGGCTATAGGGCTATAGAGCTATAGGGCTACATAGAGATGCAGGGCTATCGGGCTATAGGGCTATTGGGCTATAGGGCTTTAGGGCTTTAGGGCACCCCCGGGCACGCCCGGGCACCAGGGCACCCGGTCACCCGGGCACCCGGGCACCCCCGGGCACCCGGGCACCCGGGCGTGCGGCGAAAATCGGCGGCAAACCTAACCTAACCATCTGAATCCCGCCCACCCGCTACGTCGAAGTAAATCTTCGGGATGAGAGCCACCCCGTGTAGAGCAGAGGATTCAGGAGGAACAGAAAGGTACTGGAAAACATGGAAGGTGGAGGGGAACACGAACATCCAAACACAGAATGGAAAAGATGGTGCATCATGGGAGTTGTGCCTATTTCGTTGTGTGTGTCTGGGCCCCTTCAAAGATCATCAGCGCCACCAATTTCGTCGTCGTCGTCGTCAGCAGCCCCGGCTCAAGATCTCATCTCGGCCCCCCGTGCACCTCCCGCGCTCGCCCCGCGGGCGCCGCGGCGAGGGGCCTCGGCGCCGCCGCCAGAGGCCTGCAGCCGGGGGGGGGTGTCGTAGGGGGCGGGGGGCAGCGCGGCGGGTCCGAAGGGGGGGGGGGGGCTGGGGGACGTCAAGAGGCTGAGTCCAGACCGAGGAAGCACGGACGGGGACCGGGCACTCCGCATGGACCTGCTCCGCATGGACTTCGCCTCTGAGCAGGAGGGGCTCTGAGGCCACACGGAGCGAGTCCAGACGGAGACCGATCACTCCGTATGGGCGCACTCCGTATGGATTCATCCTTCGCCGTGGATGCCAAGTCGCGGGCCCAGGCTGGCCGCAGACACGCTCCTAAATGCGGGTCGCCATGGGGAGGGGAGGCGGCACAAGGGATTTGGAGACACGCGTGGCTGGGTTCGCATGTGGGACACGCGGATGCCGTTCGCTGGATACAGACGCGGAAGTTTGGCCTAACGGGTCCACGCGATGGCGTGAGTGGGTGATCGGGTCGGCTCGGAGGGGGTTGGGAGATAGCAAGGGGGGAGGGGAGAGGGGGTGATGCGGTCAGGAACTTGCCTTCAGCTTCAGTTTTAGGAGAAGGCCAGGACCGCAGGCGATTCCTCGCCCCCAATCCCCAAGTTCCACATCAAAAGTCAGGCCATGTCGAAATGACGCGGGGAAGTGGGGGAAGCACCCTCAGGTGGCTATCCGGACGCACCCCATGTCGAGGATGGACGCATCCCCAAGTACGATCAGCAACGTTTGCTCAGCGACTCGCGCCGCCGGTTCTTGGCCACCTCGCCTTGGCGCGACAAGCTAATCACGTCAACGACCCGAGCCTCTCCCAGCTTCCCGCCGCAGGGAGCGGCCGTCGCGCTACCCTCTCGAAGTGCGCAGCGTGTCGCCTGGTCCACCGCCGCGGCACGATAAGCAAAAAGTTCCTGTCCAGATCAGGTGTTTGGACGCCCGAAATGGGTACCGAAAAAATGGGTACGATGCCCAACAGCAAATGCTGTCCCAAACCAACAGCGGCCGCTGTTGGGCAGGCGGCCTCCTGTCTCGAGTGGGCACAGGCCGCGGCGGCGCGGACAGCGAGTCCTGTTCAAAGTGAGCAGGAACTGCTGTTGGGCATCGTACCCATTCTTTCCGTACCCATTTCGGGCGTCCCAAAGGTGGGCGGAAAGGTGGATTGGGAAAGGGGGGCTGGGATAATACTGGGACTGGTACTGTCGCCTTCGCGCTGGCCACGTGCCTCGTCTTTCGGCGTGGTGCTCTCGCCTCAGCGCGGGCCACGTCCCCAAGCAGGTAGTGTGCTGCCGCGCGAGCGCCAGCCACAGTCACATGCCGGGACGCTTGAGGCACGCACCTTGGAGGGGCTGTCAGGGTTGTCGGGGGGGTTGTCCAGGGATTTGTTCGTTAAGATTACAGTGAGCGGTTTGTTCAAGGAGCCTTTGCGTCAGAAGGGGCTCGGTCGTTCCTTAGGCTTGCATGCGTTCTGTATCGTTCCTCATGCGTTATCCCTTGGGGAAAAATGGGGCTTCGTTCCTTATCTATCCTTAGGCCAGGCCGATCATTGCATGTCCACTGAACATAGGTAGGCGGTGATCCGGTCGGCTCGAGTCGGTTTGGTATCGGCGTCTCGCCGAGAGAGCGTTCCATGGGCCATGGGGGTGCCCGAGGCGTCACGATCGGCCGCCAGAGCCTCGGGTCACGTGTGATCCAGAAGCCAGGCGGAAATCACTCGCAGGGGGGGGGAGGGTTTCTCCGGAGGGCTTAGGCGACCCGTCCTCCTCCTCTCTCCTCCTCTCTCCTCCTCCTCCTTCTCCTCCTCCTCCTCCTCCTCTTCCTCCTCGTCGTCCTCCTCGTCGTCCTCCTCCTCCTCCTCCTCATCCTCCCCCTCCCCCTCCTCCTCCTTCCCCTCCTCCTCATCCTTCTCCTAGCTGCCATCTGGGCCTAAGATATTGTCACGGCAGCCCAGACCGCCACCATGCGATTCCTCGGACCGAGCAGACAGAAGGGGCGGCGGCCCGCATGATGGCAGCACTCACAGCCTCTCTCGCTGTGCTCCTCTTCAGCCAGCTCTCGGCAAAGCCCGACAAGCACGCGGTGAGATACGAGGAGGACCACAATATTGACATCATCGTGGGGACATCACGCAGACGACACGTCATTACGCAGCACCGCCGCGGCAACACAAGATACTACGACGCGGGCTGGCAACCAAGAGAAGAGATCAACCGCAGCACGGGCACCATCATCGACATCCAGGAGCCGCAGCTCAGTGGAAGAAGTCTCGATATCACCCTGCATCACGACCAGACGCTGCTGATCATAGGATACTACAGACCGCCACAGTACTACGCTAAGACGAGCAGATGGTTCAACTGGATAGAAGAAACCAGCTGACAGAAGCATAATTGTTGCGGGCGACCTCAACGATGGCAACGGCATCACACAGAAAGGAGGACGACCAGAAACACCAGCGCTCGAAGAAGGCGGATCGCCCGAACGACTACCAGGCGGTGCTGGACATAAGACTCGCACCTACGCCGACCGCAATTTCGGAGAGAAGAACGCGAGGTACATCATGATACCGAGGAGCATGACCGAGACAACGATATCTCAAGGACCCCTGCTAACACGCTGCCGATCCAGACGAGACGTACCAGTGCAAGTGACCTTGCTACGACAACAAATACGATAGCGACCTCAGCCAACGAGACGGGAAAAGGACAGCCTCGTGCTCGCAGCACGACGCGGACGACACAGAGGAGAAGTCATCGAGAAGGTAGAGCAGAGGATAGCGGACCCAGCAGGAAAGGGAGTCGATCAGCTCTTCACGGACAACAGCACTATCCTCGTAGAGACAGCGCAGAAGTACTACTGCCAGGCGCCGAAACCGACGGACTACTGCGAGAGGCTCACGAATTACACCAAGAGGCTAATCGCACGCCTGCGGCCGAATCGTCGCCTCCCCCGTTTTGCACGGACGAGCTCGAACCCAGGGACTTCCCAGGGGCGGTCGTTGACCCACCCAAGTCCCAGAAAGAGACAGAGCTGGAGGGCAATCCACACGCCACAGACAAACAGCCGATCACGGAGATGCGCGAGATCAAGAAAAAGCTGCACGACATCACGACGACGCGCCAACGACAACGACGATGCGCACAACGACAACGCACAGAGCAACGAGTCGAAGAACTATCACGAGCAGGAGGAATATACGAACCACGCAAGAGGGACTTCTGGACGGTTACTACGGCAAGCTTCACGAAGCAGGAATGGCTTGATTTTTTGCGACTTCCAGGAGGATCAGACGGCATGGAAGGCACCGAGCAGGATACCCAGCACCTGGAGGCCATCCCACACAACGCCGAGGAGAAGGAATATTGCGAGAGCGACTTGGAGGAACAGATAGAGGAAGACTACAACGAGATCGCCAAATGCCACAAACGAGCACGCCTACGACGAGCAGCACCACCAACGGCGGCACCAACGGAGATCTGGCGACTACTACTACGCCCACCGAAGGCGGAACACCAACCGCGCCAACGACACGGCCTGGGGTTTCTAGCAGAAGACGGAGGACACTTACAAAAGTTACCGAAGGCCGCCTTACGAACAACGAGTGCATCAATTGCTACCAGTGCTCCACGAGCCGAAGAACATCGCAAGCTACAACTACGCGTCCACCATGAAGGACATGTCCAATGCGCTCGCCAGCTGCAGGTGGCTTACCACGGACGCGACCAACGGCAACATCACGCAGGATCCATGGGACCAAGGAGAACGACGCTACCACAGGGCGACGTTCAACATCGAGCGCAGAGACAGCCTGGAAACACTTGGCCAGGAGCTGGGAGAACAAGTGGACACGGCCTCGCTAGACCGCCCCCACACCCGCGTGCGGACCGAAGTGGCGAACTACACGGGGCGCACGTTCGACGCAGGAGCGGAGCGCGACTACCTCGAGAAATACTACAAGGACGTCATATTGAGCGGCAGGGCAGAGAAGATAGCAGACAGCATCCCAATCTTCCTCGCACGCAAGAACAAGGGCAAAGGAGGGGGCATCACGGAGAAGCGCAGGCTTCAGTTCCAGGCGAAGTCAACGGACACGCAGCTGGAGACGACCCGCAAAATCGGGGCGGTGCCGCGCGGAGAACGAGAACTGGGGCGTCTCGCCAGAACGACACGGAGAGAGGAGCAGCACAATATGACGTGCTTGAGCGGACGGCGCGGCTCTGTCCTGTCCCAGCGAGCGCGGCCCCTCAGGCCACCCCGTTTTTTTCCGCACCAGCGCGCGATTCCACGAGCTGGTCAGGGAAGGGCGCCTCCTCCTCCGCCTCCGACCGAGACCTTCTGCAACTCCGAGGCCCGAGCTTCCCTGACTAATTTGTCGCGCGCCGACCTCCCCCGCCCCCACCCGAAGGGCAGAGGTAGACGGGGCAGTAGAGGAACCAGCGAGAGGGCGCCCGAAATAGCGGGTGCTACCCTGCCCGCAGACCCCTGCGTGGGGGAGGGCGGTGCAGGTAGGGCCCGAGCGTCTCAGTGGCGCCCGCGACCCCATTTCAGAAAAGCGACCTCAGCTAGGCCACGCAACTTTATTAGGCGGCACAGCGCGCAGCGAGAGTGCAGCGCCGAACCGGCCCGAGAGCTCGATCGATCGATCATCCTTCTCCTCCTTCTCCTCCTCCTCCTCCTCCTCGCCCTCCCTCCCCGGGGGAAAACTCCAGGGGGGGTGGGGGGAAGAGCTCTCTCGGAGCGAGAAGATGATGGGACGTTGTTCGAGGAAGCGGAGTGGAGACTCGTAGAGAATCTAGGCGCGAGGGACGGCAACTGGCTCGGGAGTGAAAGAGCTTCGTCGCCTGGCGGATGACGGGAAACGCCTTCTCGGAACGAGGAGGTGATGGGAGTATGTTAGGCCATGCCGGATCATGCGTCGATAGCAAAGACTAAGACGCGAGGGCCAATTGGTTCGGGATCGCAAAAGGTTGTGCGCCTGGCGGATGCCCCCGAGAAGCTGCAGTTTCGCTGAGGCATCCTTCGACAATTCATGTTGAAGGAGTTGTGCTAACAAGACGTCTTTTCGTTAAAGGTGTAGCTCTCGCTCGCGGCAACCTCGAAAAAGTATAGATGCTGGAGTCGCTTGTGATTTCGGAGGGAATCCTGGGCAAGCGTCAAACAATGGAATGTTGAACTAGCTATGTCTGGACGCCCGATATGATGGTAAGTGCCCCTCCGAAGCGAGTAGGTGATGGGAGTGTCATAGTCGTGATCATCAGAAGAATCGTCGGCATCGTCATCATGATCAGTTCCGTCACGCCATCGCCATTGCCAGTGCCATCATACATAAACACCCACACGCACACACACACGACACACCACAACAAATTCAACGCGCCGAACACACATTATACCCCCAGCGCACGGATGTCCCTCTATATATATATATAGATATACAAACATATTTACACACACCATCAACAACCCATACACACATCACTGGCACTTAGCGCGCAGCCTGCGCACACCGTTCGCCCTTCCCTCCCGCCCGCCAGGCACACACACCGCACGCGTACCGTGCACGCACCCCTGGCCCGCAGGCCAGGAACGGACCCCGTGCGCACACCGTGCACCCCCCCTCCGCCCGCCCCCCCCCCCCCCCCCCCCCCCGTGCACACTCCGCACGCGCGCCGTGATAGGGGGATGCGAAGTCCCTGAAGACGGGACGGGATGGGCACGAGCGGGCATCATAGCCGGCTCAAGGTCAAACGAGGCATCACAGCCCCATCATCAATCTAGATGGATACACTCAATATCCTTTTGCAATTGGTTTTCATTGAGTTCACTCCATGCGTAGCATGCTCTCCCCAAGTCTCCCGCCTCCTCGGCATATGCGCAGCCAGGCGCGCGCGCACGCGCGCACACCGCCGCACGCACACACGCAGACACGCACGCGGGCGGGTGGCAGCGTCCAGCACGACGGCTCCAGGGCCAGCTTGCGGGCGCCGCGGCGCCGCGAGCTCGCGCTGCCAGAGGCTGGAGCGGCGATTGACAGCCCAGCCCTTGCAGCACCGAACGTACCGAAGACGCGCACACGCGCACGAGCACCTGCACAGACTCTCACACGCAGGCAAATGCGCATCGCAGACTTGCGGGCAGCCGCCGAGCGCGGGATGCCAGTGGCAGCCATTGGGGCATCTTGGGGAGCCCAGCGACGGCACCCCATAGGTGCCCACGTGCGTGCCGGGTGCAAGTATACGCGCGCGTGCGCACGCAAAGTTCAGAGAAGTGGCGCAGGCCGTCACGGGGGTTTTTTCCCTTCCTCTTCAGGCCTTTAATGAGCCCCCTCTTCCTCCTTCCTCGTCCCCGAAACTCCTGGGCCCGTTTTCTCGGTCCTTTTCGGCCCCCGCCCCTCTGGCGGGAGCATGTGTCGGGGGGTGACCCCCCCCCACGCGCCTCGGGCGCGCGCGCGTAGCTTCGGCCGCGCGGACGGCTGCGTCCAACTGGACATCGAGCCGATAGCGATAGCGATAGCGATAGCCCCGTGTTCGTCAGGATAGGTCCCCCCACAACGATTGCTTCGTTTGCGGCATCCTCCAACAGCGAGAATGTGCAGGATGTGTCTCGGGACGTCTGATCGTTGAGCGTGAAGCTTTGTCACGAGGCACCCTCAACAGGTTGAGGTGTTAAGATCTGTGTCCTTGGCGAACTCGCTCGAATACTCAGGACTGGCAGTTTCGCTTGAGACATCCTCCACGGCATGAGATGTTGAAGGAGTTGTCTTAATACGTCTTATCGTCAAACGTAAGGCTCTCGCTAAATACAGTTTGTAACGAAAGGATATGTTGAAATCGTTTGCGAACTTGACGGCTGTTTAAACATGAGGCTCTCGCTGGAGACATCATCGAGCTATCGACTTCGGAGGGGACCTTGGATATCCTTGTTGTTTTCGTTGACAGGCTGAACTAGTTGTTTTCTGACGTCTCATCGTCACGTTCGTAGCCGTTTGATCCCAAGTGTAGAATTGCAACCGCACGTTCTTCGTGGTAGTGTAAAAAGACATACCCGATTGCGTAATATTCACTCCTCGTGTTGTGTTTCCCCTTGACGGGAGGACAACGTCGACCATGTGCATCGCAAAGTTTGCCACCATGCAGACGTTCATCATACTCGCCGCAGCAGTGAAGCTTGAGCTCATTCCCGAGTGGCCCTTGCTTCCCGACGATACCGCCGACCGCGGCCGCCTGCTTCTGACCGGAAGACGTCAGTGTCAAGACGTATATAATCCGCTCTGCCTCACTGTGTCGTCAGACGTTCAGGAGAAACAGTACAAACGCATGTCTTTCGAATGTGTGGTGCTGACCAGCAGTGTCACAGAGGTTGGAAAGCAAGGCTTCATGCTTGGCACCATGGGTTACTTGGCGATTCGTTCCAGATCCTCGGCGCTCTCATTGGGCGAACAAAGTTTCAAACGGGTGAACGCTCAAAACACCACGCGTGGCCGTGGAAGTCTCATCATAGTTTACGAGGGTGGCGCGAGGACTAAGTCCCAAGTGAGCGAAGGCGCCCAGTGTTTTGACCGCACGACGCTCACAGAGGCTACAGCGTGTGCTGCTCCCACGGCGAGCCCCACGGCGATCCCCACGGACAGCCCTACCGTCAGCCCGACGGCGACCCCGACGGCGAGCCCGACCGCCAGACCGACGGCCAGCCCGACTCCCGGCGCTGCCCCCAGGCCAATCACTGCGGCGACACCGACCACCAGCCCGACGGTGGGCCCCACGGCGGGCCCCACGCCGAGCCCGACAGCGACTCCGGCCGCCGGCCCGACGGCCAGCCCGACTGCCAGCATATCCGCAACCGGCGACCCACCCCCATCTCAGGAACATTCGCGGAGAGCACTTTGACGTGTACCAGTCGGGTCGGGCGAAAGGGGGGGTTTGGGAAAGGGGGGGTTACGAAATCTGCTGCACGCAGCTGGTTTCGTCCCACCGAGGGGCCCATTCCTCGATACATGGCCGCCTCCGGCGCCGGGAGGCGCCGGGAAAGTCAGCTACGCGAGCTGATTCTCAAACCCCCCCTTTGCTATCCCCCCCTTTCGCCCGACCCGTACCAGCCAGGCGTTTTAGTTCTGTTGCGTGTAACACGACGCGCGGACCCTGAGACCACGCTGCTACTCGTGGAGGCTGACGCCAGGCGCATGGGTGATGTGTGCGCAGTGTACTTCCAGGCCGTCACCATCTCTGGGATATGGACGAACCAGAGTACACCCACCACATTCCTCGCGAACCAACATAGCACACCGCCAGGCACAAAGCGGAGGGAGTGGGTGCGGTTCGGCGCGGTCGAAGTAAAGGTGGTACATCGTAGGAAAGGCTTCGATTTTTGAATTTTTATGCCAAGGTGGCCGGTTAGAGTGTGTATGTAATTGGAGGCCTCCTTGGTGTTGATGGCCACGCTGCCGCCGAGACCCGGCCGCGCAAGTGCTCCCATCAGCACAGCGTTGCGCTCGCATAATCGTTCGCAGATGCTCGCAGCTAAAAGGTGAAATGGCCAGCCCTTTGCGCTGACTGTTCGTAATTTGGGCCCCAGCTTCCAGGAAGTTGGCATGATACTTTCAGGCATATGGTCCAGGTTTTCAATACATATTCAATCACGAGGTCTTGCAACCAAGTGTGGCCCGGTTTCTTCAAACTTGTTCTATTGACGAAGCCGCCGTTTTACATTTCGGTTTCAGTTTTCAAGTGTAGCTTTGATTGTAGTGCAGAGCTTTCGATTATTATGTTGAATTGAAGGCGTTGGCACGTGTTTGGCGTGCACAAGCCACACATGCCTTCCTTTGCGAGCTCGTTGAACCCACCCAGGCGAATGCACAGTTCGCCCTTCCTCAGACGGTCGCGGGGTGTGTGTCGAGATCATCATCATCGTCACGCCATCGCAGTTGTCAGTGCCACCGCACATAAGTTCATACACACACGACACAACATACATCACCTTCAATGCACATCACAGCAATCCACCCCCAGACATCAATGCATCATACAAACCGCACCCACACCACTCACACACTAGCGTGCGCACACCGTTCGCCCCTCCCTCCCGCCGGCCAGGCACGCACCCCGCACGCGCACCGCACACGCACTCCCGCCCGCCCCCCAGGCACGCCCCGCACGCACGCCGCGTACCCCCCCCCCGCCCGCCCCCCCCCCCCCCGCACACATCCCGCACGCACGCCGTACACGCCTGCCTCCCGCCCCCTCGGCACACACCCTGCACAGACGCGCGCACGCGCGCGCCGCACGCGCTCACAGCCGCACACACACACGGGCACGCACGCGCACTCGCGCGGGCGTCGGCCTCGAGAGCCGGCCCGCGGGCTCCGCAGCGCCGCGGGCCTGCGCTGCCAGAGGCTGCAGCGGCGACCCACACCCCAGCCCCTACAGTAACGAAGCTACGGGGAGCACTCGCTTGCGCGCGCACACGTGCACATACAGTGGGGGCGCGCATCAGGAAACCATATGCTTTTCGTCAGGGTCTCCTGGTTTCTTCGCTCCGCGCGCTGCGCGGTGACTTACCGCAGACGTTGAAGAAGCTGCTGCGTTCAGGGTGCTCCGGGCTTCCCCTCGGGTGCACCCCGCGCGTGGGTTTTCAGGGTTGGGTTTCTTGCGAGGGTTTCTTGCGGCCGCGCCCGCACTGTACTCACACAAGCACGCATGCAGAGCACGCGCAACACCTGCCCAAAGCAGTCGCAGGCAACCACTCAACCGCCTGCCAGACACACATCCCGTGCGCGCAGCGCACACGCACCCCCGCCCGCCCGCCCGGCAGGCACCACGCACGGACACCGTGCACCCCCCCCCCGCGCGCCCCGTACACACCCCGCACCCAAACCACCGAAACACACACGCACACGAGCACGCACACGTGCACATACGTACGCTGACAACGCGCAACACCTGACCAAAGCAACCGCAGGTAACCACAAAACACGAGCTACCAATGGCAACCATCTGGGCATTAAGGGGAGCCCCGCGACTGCACCCCATGTGCACACATGCGTGTTGGGTGCAAATCCATGCGCGCATGCGCACGCAGCCTCAGAGAAGCGGAGCTACCTGATCTTTTCCGGACAGGTTGGGTAAGGGCCGATCTGGGGGGGTGAGGGGGGGGGTGCGGGGCGAATCCGCGGCGTACTCCCATTCCCTGATGTTTGGCGGCTTTCGGCACCGATAAACACCAAGAGAACCAGTTGCGTGAGCACATTCGCAAACCCCTCTTCGTCGTCGTCGTCGTCGTCGTGGTCGTCGTCGGGGTCGTCGTCGTCGTCGTTGCCCGAGTCGTCGTTGCCCTAGTCGTCGCAGGACTCATCGTCCCCTAATCACCCCCCGGTCGTCGCCCTCGTCGCCCTCGTCGCCGTCGCCGTTGGCCTTCGGCGGCGGCGCGTCGTGGCCGTTCTATCCCTGCTGTCCTCACCTTTCGCCCGATCCCGGGTGAGCCCCAAAGGGTTCGACGACGGCCTGGAGGCTCACGCCTCCGTGAGGCTTCCTCCTGCAGCGGCCGCCCTGGGAAAGGGGGGGGGGCAAGGCAGAGTTGGGGGACGCACCCAGCCGTATGCCATTCGTCCCCTCTTCCAGGGACCGATTGCCCTCGAACCGGCTGGGATGGACCTTGGGAGAAGTCCAGGGGCCGATTTTGAGCCGATTTTGGCGGAGTGCGTCGTCAGTTTCGGCGTAGCTTTCGCGCCCCAGGACCGTCAAACATTAAGCCGGGGTGGAAGCCTTGCGAGAATTGATCCCTGGAGGGGTGCAGGGACCGATTATGACTGGATTTGGGTCGGGAAGTTCAGGAGGCAAAAACACTGTATATGTGTATGGATGTATGGATGTATGGATGTATGGATGTATGGATGTATGTATGTATGTATGTTTGTATGTATGTATGTATGTGTGTATGTGTGTATGTGTGTATGTGTGTATGTGTGTATGTGTGTATGTGTGTATGTATGTATGTATGTATGTATGTATGTATGTATGTAGGTAGGTAGGTAGGTAGGTAGGTAGGTAGGTAGGTAGGTAGGTAGTTATGTAGGCACGTGTGTATGTATGTGTGTATGTAGGTGTGCATGCAGGTATGTATGTATGTATGTATGCATGCATGCATGCATGCATGCATGTATGTATGTATGTATGTATGTATGTATGTATGTTTGTAGGCATGCATGCATGCATGTATGTATGAATGTATGTATGTATGCATGTGGGTATGTATGTATGTAATCATGTATGTTTATATGTATGTATGCATGTATGCATGTATGCATGTATGCATGTGTGCATGTGTGTATGCATACATGTAGATGTGTATACATATATATGTATATGTATATGTATGCATGCACGCATGCATGCATGCATCCATGCATGTATGTATGTATGTACGTATGGATGTGTACGTGTGTCATGGAGTGTAACGCAATGTAATGGGTCGTACGGTACTTTCATGGCATGCCATGTAATGGAATGCAATGCAATGGAATGGAGTGGTATGTATGTATGTGTATGTATGTATGTAGTTAGGTAGGTGTGTGGGTATGTAGGTGTGTAGGTATGTATGTATGTTTCTTTGTACGTCTATATGTACACGCACACATCCGCCGGCCCCCTTGCGGGCCAGCAGACTGCGATGACTAGGTTGTCCAATTCTTTGCGACAGCTTCCAAGTTGTATTTGTATTTGGCCTCTTCTCTAGTTTCACCGATGTAGTGATCAAAGTCTGCGCGAGGGGGGGAACCCGAAAGCCACCTGTTACCCTTCCCCAGTGCACATCCTCAGAATTTCTGGGGGTGTCTTGGGACACCTACATTACGTTTAATTCGTGCTCCCGAGTCCACCCTCGTGAGTTACGTTGCATTCGCGCTCCCGAGGCCACAATCCTTTGAAATTTGCGCCAGCCTCGCGCAACCCAAGCCACAATCCCCACAAAGCTAGCGCCAGATTCGCGCCCCCGAGGCCAGAATGCACATAACAGCAGGGCCCCACCCCTCAAGGCATGATCCCTCGTAGCTCGCGCTCCCAAATTCACAATCCTCCGAACAGCATTGCAGGCTGCTGCCCGCGGGACCACGACCCGTCGTGAATTGCCGCGGGTTCGCGCCCTCGAGGCGACACCTCCACGTAAGGCACGTCTGGCTCGCGCTCCCCAAGCCAAACTGCGTCACCCTCGCGGCCCCAGAGCCACGATCCTTGCTGCAGGTTCGGCCAGGCTGGCGCCCCTGGCGCCACAGCCCCTCGAGACTTCGCGCTCCCGATGCCGCAGTGCCCCTCGGGTTACGCCAAAATCCGCGCTCCCGAGGCCGCAATCGTCCATGACGACGGGCTCTTGTGCCCCGGGGGCCACAGTCGTCTGCACGACTTACGGGGCCACATCAGGAGAGAAAGAAACACCGACACAATGAATCGTCGATCCCCCAGAAAGTGTGGGAACATATGGGCAGTGGGGGGGGGACGACAGACACCCAGAACAGATGGGAAAACATCTGGGGAAGCCAGCCAATTCTGTGTCTGTTTGTTGGTGTGTGTCCCAGGGCCCCTTCACCACGGCCCTCCGCGAAAGATCCGGTTTCCGGCCTGCGCTCCCCGAGACCCGCACACAACGAGTCGCTCATGCGCTCTGCGCGCCGTGCTCGCGCTCCCCGGTGCCTCCGTGGCCCCCCGTCAGTTGCACACGCCTGCGCCCCCGGAGGGGGTCGCTGCTTATGCTAGGAAACTGGAGCCTCCTCCTCCTCCTCCTCCTCCTCCTCCTCCTCCTCCTCCACTCCCTGCCTCCTCCCTCCGCGACCGTCGCCCTCTCCTCGCCTCTGCTCTCCGCGGGTCGCTGCCTCGGCACAGCCCTCACACGTTGTCGGGGCTGCTGAGCTCCCCAGGTCAGCCCCTGTGGCGGGCCGTCTTCCAATCCCTCCTCCTCACTCTCCTCCTCCTCCTCCTCTTCCTCCTCCTCCTCCTCCTCCTCCTCATCCTTCTCCTCCTCCTTCTCCTCCTCCTCCTCCTCCTCCTTATCCTCCTCCTCCTCCTCCACCTCCTCCTCCTCCTCCTCCTCCAGGACTTTTTGAGTGTCGGGGACGACGTCGGGGTGGTGTAGTGTATACTTGTTTTCCCCGTTTTCCCAGGAAGCAGTTGAAGATGTATAAGCCAGGGTCCCGTACACACCAGGCCCCGCGTTCTTGCGCAAGGATCCGTGCAGGGCCGCACAAGAAACGTCGGTGTATAGAACGCGATTCCCTATATTCCTTGTTTTGCCCATCGGCGCGGGTTCGCGCATCCCCCCCTCCTCGTCCCCCCCCCCGTGGAGTGGCTCTTGGCTGTTTTGTTGGCGCCTGTGTCGAGCAGGTGGAGCCCATTCCCTTTTCCCCACTGGACGCACTGCGGCAAGCAGTCGCACTAAGCAGAGGTCCGGAGCCAGACCCCCCCCCCTCCCCTAGGGCGCTGCGTAATGGGGGATCATAAATGGGGGGCGGCGAGTGTGGTCCGAAAAGGTACCCAAATGGTACCTAGACGAGCCCCCTGGGGACCCGAAAGGGGCACGAAAGGGGGACCTTTTCTGACCCCCCCATTTGGGACCCCCCCAGTAAGCCACGCCCAATCCCCCCCCCTTCCGCCCAATGCCGAAACGCTGAATCAGAAAACGCTCACAGGCCAACATCCGTCCCGAAGTGCTGCGCGCCGGCGCTCTCGAGGCCACCGCCCTCAGCCCGAGTCCACGGAGCTGCTCGCGCTCACTGCGAGCCACACCGCGTGGTGCTGCCGCAGCCCCCCACGCCCTGTGCCACGAGCCCGCGGGCCGCCGACGCCGCAGCCCGCGGCACACCACGCCGCGCCCGCGCCGCCCCGGAGGCAACCGCCCCGCGCAGACCCTGGCGCGCTGGCGCTCCCCCGCCGGGCCGCGCACTCGCCGCGAGGCGAACAGCACGCGAAACGCGAGAAAGATGGAGCCGCGGCTTTGTCGGCTGCGCCGCGGCTAGGCCGCCGCGGAGGCGCCGCCGCCGGCGCATCCGGACCTCTCGGGCCAGGCTCGTGCTCCGCAGGGCCACCGTCCTTCGCACACTGCTCGGGGGCGCGCGAGGGGGGGGGCAGCGAGAGGCAGAAGGCCCTCCTCGGAGGGCGGCGGGACTTCTCGGACGCCCTCGCGGCGTCTGAGGAGGTCTCGGCGTCCTCGGGGCAGGCTCAGACGAGACTTCTCGGAGGGCCGGGGGGCTCCCAGGGCTTCTGAAAAGGCCCGCCCGCTCTCACTCCCCCCTTCGGGCGCGCCGCCGACATTACGCCAGAGTCGCGTTCCCGTGGCCAGCCCACAAAACAGTCGGGGCGCTGAAGAAGGAGCCCTGTTCGTTGGGGAGGGGCGCGGTGTTCCTTGATTGTTTTGCAGTTTGCCTTAGGTTTTCCTGAGTTTTTTCCATGGGCTATTCAAGTTTAACCGGTGGGGAAAAAGGGGCCTCGTCCCTTTAGGATTCCTTTGGTCAGCGCCCCGATTGTAAATCACACATCAAATCACTACAGAGTTCGCGATCCCGAGGCAACGAATCCACCCCACGGAGAGACCAGCACCAGGGCATTTGTTCTGTACTTGGCTATGTGCTCGAGTGGCGCGTTGCGGCCCCCCCCTCGTTCTCTGAAAATAGTGCTCGGGGTTTGAGGCCACGAGTCGTAGGCCATAGCTGGGGGCTCGTGCTCCCGAAGCCGCGAACCATCTCTCACGAGTCACCACAGACGCGCACAGCCAGCCGACCAGCCAACAGCCCAAATCAGTTGCCAGCCATCAGTGTAGACACGATCGGGTTGACCCAAAAGGGGGTCCAGCGACAAGGGCGTGGTGCAATACATTTGGGGCCTGCAATCTATTCTGGGGCGCAGGTGTATTGCTGGACTTTCGCGTGCAATACATTACTTGCAAACCAATGCAATCCACTTCCCTGGCGCAATACCTTTTGAATACAAGTGTCCGACAACTATTGCACCACCCCCTCGCAGCTGCACCCCCCTTTTGGGTCACCCAGACAAGAGGCCAGTCAGCCGCGTTGCCGGCCACCCAGCCGACGAGAAGCCCAACCAAGCCAAGACCCAAGCGCACTCGTGCGGGCAACAGCCCGAGAGGGGGGGGGGCCAGCTGCCGAGGGCGCCGTCCACATGCCCACTGTGATCTTTACCCGCTGCGGACATGCCGCTGCGGATGCCTTCCCCGCTGTGACTTACCCGCTGTGTCCACACGTCCTTGGCGGATGTGATCTGCCCGCTGCCCACATGCCGCTTCCGCTTTGGCTGCATGGCTCTCCTTGTGCCTTCGTCGTCGTGGCCGGATCCGCCTCGGAGGCCCCGTCAGAACGCGCCCCGGGGACAGTACCAAGTCGGGCGCGCCCCTCTACAGGAGGAGCACTCAGAGATCGTAAGACAAATAGCCGGGGGATGTTTGAGTATGGGTTACGGGCAGGAGTGGCGTCCACGTCCACGGCAGCGTGGAGGTTCTGTGGCGCAGGCGTGTGCGCTTTCAGATAGCAGTTATTCGCTGGCTCTTGTTTTTGTATCACCGCGATAATCGTCTCAACGCGGCGCGTGTTGCCTGGCACTCCCGAAGTGGTGGCAGAAGATGGCTGAGGCTGTGATCGGGCTCCTGCGGGAGCCCATGAACCGTGAACCTCACGGCGTTGACGATGGGTTCGTGGGCAGTGCGAAACAAAAAGGTTCGGGCTCCGTTCCCCAGAAACCCGAGGCGCACTGGACACACGGCGGTCGGTCGTTGAAAGTAAACGTCTGGGATTCCGTGGTTAGGTTCCAATCTACGTCAGGCGCCTTCCCACGTCAAGGGTCGAATCAGTTCCTTCATCCCTCCGCTTCAGGGTGCGGACGGGGGCCCAATATATTTCCATCTCCTTCCTACTTCATCTTTCTATAGTTCTACCTACTATTTCCGACCGACGGGTATGGATGGAAATCTAGCCTCCAGAGGTTCGATATTTTCCAATATCCAGTGCGCCTCGGCCTTGCGTCATCCCTTCCACGAAAGTTCAAGACGCACTGGATATGGATGGAAATATTGCCCGCAGGTGTACAATGAAACGCTCGTTTGGGGGACCTTCCTGGGACCCATCTAACGGATTTGTTCGACTCCTCTAGTTCGGTTCAGGTTCGATTCTAGGGCCGTCCCTAGTTTCATCCTAGCTTGACTCAAGCTCGACGAAGGTTCGACGGACGTTCGGCACAGCATCGACGAATGAGTGGAGCGAAAGGCTCCAGGAAGGGCCCCAGAACGAGCATCCAAGATCCAATTGTGAGGGGCCCCAGCGCCGACCGAATAAGTCCACGCGGACCTCCAGAACCGAAACATGTCCGTTTTCCTCGATCCCCCTTGCCGAGGTCACAGCCGATGGCGAAGCGCAAGCGCGCGGGCTTCAGCTCGGCGTCGCCAGAGGAGGCGGGCCCGTGAGGGGCAGAACGGGATACCCCATGGCGCCGCCGCGAGGATGCGCCACCCCGCTTGGGCGGGCGTGTGGGGCAACGTTCTCGGGTGAGGAGGAGGAGGAGGAGGAGGAGGAGCAGGAGAAGGAGGAGGAGGAGGAGGAGGAGGAGGAGGGAGCAGAGAAGAAACAGAAAAAGAAGAAGAGGAGGAGGAGGAGGAGGGGAGGAGGAGGAGGAGGAGGAGGGGGAGGGGGGGGGGGAGAAAGAGGAGGAGGAGGGGAGGAGAAGGAGGAGGAGGAGGAGGAGGCCCCCACGGCCGTCAGAGCCACCCCTCACGAGGCCCGGAGGGACACGAGGGGCTGCAGCACTGGAAGCGATCAGCTGGGGGCACCTTGGGCCAGGGGGCACCTTTCGCAACCCCTGACGCCGGGGTTGGGATACTCCAGATCCCTTATTCATTGTCCCCCAGGTCCGGTTTTTTAAGGCGCCTTTCTTCTAACATGGGGGGGTCCGGTTTATTATGGCGCTTTCTTCGGATTGGAGCTTAGGGGGTCCGGTTTATTGAGGTGCCCCGTCGAAGAGGGGGGTCCGGAGTATTATGTCGCATTTGGAAGGGGGTCCGGTTTTTTAGGGGGGGTCGATTCGTAAAGGATTTGGAGTAGGCTCCCGGGGGATGCATCGATCCGCAGGCGCTGATTCATCGCCGCCAGGGGCCCGACAGCCCGCTCCGCTCAGGAGCGTGCGGAGTTGGCCCTCGGGGGCGCCGACCGATCCGGGATGCATGGCCGGTTCCAGCAGGAGGTTTCCCCACCTTCCCCCGTTCTCGCCCCCATCTTTGCCCCTCATGATGGGGCCCCCACCTTGGGGTCTCCACCAACGTCGAGGCAGAGAGGAGAAACTTCAGCAGGGAGGAGGGAAGATGGACAAGAAAGGATTTACATTTACATCTCCCCTATGTGCACTGTCATGAAGTTGCTGGGTACACCAGTCAAGCACGCACACCTAGTGATGGAGCCCCCACCCTGTCAAGTCGATGAGCGAGGCTTGCCTCGTGTCGGTCCTCGAGCGGGCGGCGCGGCCGCCGCGATGTTTTTGCGGGCCTTGCACCCGCTGAGTCTGTGGTCTCAGCCAGGTCGCTTTGATTGAAGGGTGTTTCGCTCGGCGGCGGGCGAGGGGGGGAAATGAGAAGGAGAAGGCCTTCTCGGAAGGCGGCGGGTCTTCTCAGAAGCCCTCGCGCCTCCTGAGGATCGGCTTGCGTCTCCAGGGAAGGCTCAGAGAGCACGTTGCAGAAGGCCTGGGGACTTCCGAGCCCTCTGAGGAGGCCTTCTCATTCTCCTTTCCCCCCCTCGCCCGCCGCCAATGAGCTACATGGCGGCTCTGCCCACCCCCGAGAAGTGCGGGCCTGCCCGGTGCACCAGGTCGGTCGGCCTGCCCGGGCCTTCCGGGCGGGCCCCCCCGGACGCGAACTCTCCCGGCGCTCGCGGCGCCGCGGTCGAACGCCGCGAGGCGCCGAGGTCCTGGAGCCGCGCCTGCCGGCAAGCGAGCACGCATCATGGCTCGGGAGCCTTGAGGCGGGGGTCAATGCCGACGGGGGTCAGCCGGGCCACCGGAGATGAACCCCCCCCAGGCCTCCTCCTCCTCCTCCTCCTCCTCGGCCTCTTCCTCCCTCGGCCTCCCCCCCTCCCCCTCCTCCTCCTCCTCCTCCTCCTCCTCCTCCTCCTCCTCCTCCTCCTCCTCCTCCTCCTCCTCCTCCTCCTCCTCCTCCTCCTCCTCCTCCTCCTCCTCCTCCTCCTCCTCCTCCCTCTCCCTCGTCCCGCACTTCCCCCTCCCCCTCAGGTCAGGATGAACCGTTCGGGGCTCCAGAGACTGGGGGGTCAATGCAAACAGGGGTCAGCCAGGGCTCCGGATGCTGCATGATCCTGCGAAGACCCCCTCTGGCTGACCCGGGATAACGAGCCGCTCGTGGCCGCGAGGCGGCCGCGCATATTGGCTGACCCAGGTGTGCGAAGACCTGCGTTGCAGTTTGTTTGTTTCTGCATTGCGGTTGTTGGTTTCCTGCTGACCCGGGTCCGGATTGACCCGTGTCAGAAGATCCCCGAATGGCGCCAACATCGCAGAGCGGAGTTCGTTTGGACAACACTGGGATGGGCCCGGAGTGTCCTGGAGAATGCCGTTCTGGATGTCGAAGTGGGTTTCGTTCGGATGTTTTGTTGGCCAGGAGAGAAGATTCAAACAGATCCACGTGACATTCACGTCGTTTTTCGCTCGCCGTTTCGGGTTTCTGCATTTACAGAAATCCACGCCAAAATCCGCTGCAGCACGTCTGCAAGGTCGGTGCAGTGACAAGCAAAAGACATCCATCCGGAAGGACGCGTCGCAAAAGCTCGAAGTTGCGCCACCGGCAACCGAGCGGAACAGTCAAGGCGCAAGCGCGTCGAACGAGATGGCGAAACAGACAACGAGTCCAAGGAAAAACAACGCCGTAGACATATAATATTTTCGGCGCTCCATGCGGATGTCTTGGGTCCACGCTGGGTCCCTCTGGCGGCGCTTCGGCGCCAGGGAGGGGGCTGCAGCGCGGATCCGAGAAATCCGCGTGGAGCGACCAACGTTATGTTTCTGCCGTTGTTTCTTCTGGCTTGCCACGGGCAGCCGAGTGGATAACAGCTGCACTCGCAAGGGCGTCGTCGAACAAGGCATGGCGACACAGGCCAACCAGCACACAAAGACACGAGACGCGGCTCCCCCTCCCCTCGAGGCGGGCATGGACCCCGGGACCCTGAAGAAGATACGCCGGGGCACGCGCCTCGAGGTCCGGGAGCTGCGCTCCTGCGCCGGCGTCTGCCACCTCGTGCTGCGCCGCGGGCGCTGCGTGCTCCTGCACGCGGACGGCTGGGCCGACTGCGCCCGGCGGACGCCCTTCGGCGAGGGGACCATCTGCCGGCTGCACGGGGCCACGAAGGCTCTGGACGCCCGAAATGGGTACGGAAAGAAAGGGTACAATGCCCAACAGCAGTTCCTGTTCATTTTGAACAGGATTCGCTGTCCACGCCGCCGCGGCCTGTGTCCATTTGAGACAGAGGGCCGCCTGCCCAACAGCGGCCGCTGTTGGTTTGGGACAACATTCGCTGTTGGGCATTGTACCAATTTTTTCGGCACCCATTTCGGGCGTCCAAAAAGGCGCTGGTGTGCGCTGCTTTCCTGCGGCTGGTGGAGCAGGCGCGTCCGTGGTTCAGCGGCACCCCCCCCCCCCGCGGTGTCCCTCCTCTGCTGCGGCCGCCTCCTGCCCTCGCCGGTGCCCCCCCCGTGCAGAGTGGCCTTCTGGCATCCCCGCCAAGCTCTCCCGACCAGTGCGATCGCCAGGTCCGCGACAAGAGATGTGTGTCGGCGGCACGCACCGACGACGAAGACGATGTCCTTGCTTGTGAGGTTGCTGCGCGCTGCGCCCAAGAACCCGCAGGAGCCCGAGAGAGGCCCCAGGAGACCGAGGCCCCAGAATGCCTCCCTTTGTGTTCAGCACCACTCATGACTAGATCCACTCCTTCTCCGATGTACTCCTACGCAGACTCTCTCAGTACCAAGGCAGACCTACTCATATTCCGAACCAGTCATGCACAGTGTCATACTCCGACACGCCCACACTCAGAGTCACTCACAGTCAGACCGCATTGCACCCGTAACTATTTTTTACCCTTAGTCTGTAATCTTTGCACTTACGCATGCCCAGGTGCAATCAGTCTTCATTGGTACCGAGCCGCTCATGATTATCATTAATCATTGATGTGCAGATTCACTCACGCCCCGATTCACTCGTACCCAGATCCACCTGACCCGTTCATATTCAGACGCACGCATGGGGACCGACTCGGCCATAAACGCGCAGTTCCACTCGCACACACCCATCCCGAGTCACGCAGACAGTCTCAAACACTTTTAGGCTCGCTCATGGCCATGGCCACTCCCACTCCAGTTCATTCATACCGAGGCACACCCCTACCAATTCTATCATGTTTATCATCCCTTGTATTTTAGACGCGGCTTTGCTTACTCATACTCGGACTTATCTCCAGACGCACTCATATTCGGATTCTCCCTGAGCCTCGCATGATCGAATTCACTCGTACCACGGGCAAATCATAGTCAGGCTTGCGCACGCTGCGACCCACTAGCACACATATCCGTCCATGCTCTATGCCCGTGTGCTCGAACTTATTCTCAGACCGACGCAGCCTCACCCCCATTCACATGTAACCGCAAGGTGCCACAATAGAGATGGACTTCCGTGCGGAGCAATTGCCGTCCCGACGTCGCCGATGCATTGCCGATGTATCGGCGATGCGTTGCGCTCCCCCGACGCCGCGGCCTCCAGTTCATTGCCACCGAGATGGGTACCCAGTGAGGAGTGCACCGGCAGGGCACAGGAAGGTGGAAGGTGATGGCCTCTTTCGCGCAGGGTGCCGCAGGAACATGGCAGGATGGCGCCGCCCTCCTGCCTCGGTGAAAGCGTGGGTCTGCGGAGTACCCATCTGGGTGGCGCCGACTATTAGGGCCGGGTGGCGCTCGAGCAGTAGCACGAAGAGGAAAATCGAGACGTCTCAATCGAATAAGACGAAAAGCCCGGAGCATGAGACATATACCCAATGCCAACATGCGAACGCGGAGCGATACGAACATATCCCATTTCGTGACACATGCATTGCCTTGATATGTGAGCCCAAGTTGTTTGTGTTGGGCCTGGCAGGCGGTGTGGAGAGTACATGTGGTGCGTTGCGGTCGTCCCCGTCCTCGAAAAAAAATAGGGCCGGGTGGCGCTGGACGACCCGGTCAGGGACTACATCAACTTCTCGGAGCGCGTCGCGTGCAAGGGCGGTCAGTCTTCTCGGCCGGCGCGCGTGAGACCGACGCTGCGCCACCTGCTGACCATGACCTCTGGCCTGAGAGACACCGAGTGCCCAGCGTATGCCGGCGTCGTCCCCGGTGGCGCGCAGGGCCATCAGGTTCCGGCCTCGCACATTGGCTTCACACCTGGCGGTTTGGCCCGAGGTCGGGTCGACGCGGGTCGGAGAATGCTAGAGCGAGGGGGGGGCCGACGGTCATGGTAGTTCTTCTCCCCCACCCGACAGTTGGGGCTGGAAGATTTTCAGACTAGGTTTTAAGTCGGGCCTGTCCCCCTACAGGAGGGATACTCCAAAAACAATCCAAACAACAATCGAGAGAATTTTTCTAGTATGTTTTGACCATTGCTTTTTGTGTGTGTGAGAGAGAGAGACACTTTTTCATTTTTTGCCCGAAATCCGCGTGTAGGAGGACATGCCCGACCTAACCCTAGGGCAGGGGGGGGGAGGGCCCCCCCCCCGGTTAAGGAGGCGGGTGTCCGGGAGGGGGCGGGGGGAGCAGTTCTGGATGTTCAATGCGTTTAGGGGGGCGTTCCCCCCCCCAGTTCCAACGTGTCAGCATTGCGTTTTTTTCCAGGCAAGTGTCCAGGAAACGCGTTCTCTCTGAGATTTAGATTGTCATCGCCTGTTGGCTGGTCAATCTTAGGGAATAGGGATAAGTCCGAGGTTGGTTATCATCCGCCCCGCCCCCGTCCCATTCCCCCGAGGTGATCGTTTCTCAGAGGAGGGCACGGTGCCGATATACCGCCTCGATCTCGCCCTGGAGGGTCTCCCGGGAGGCCCTCGTCGCCACGGGCTGGACTCGCTTTGAATCCTGGTCAGCGCGCACCCTTGGCGAGGTCTGGGGAGTAGCGCTGTTGGTCTTATCTTTTTTGCGTGTCCTCCTCCTCCTCCTCCTCCTCCTCCTCCTCCTCCTCCCCCTCCTCCTCCCTCTCCTCCTCCCTCTCCTCCTCCTCCTCCTCCTCCTCCTCCTCCTCCTCCTCCTCCTCCTCCTCCTCCCCCTCCTCCTCCCCCTCCTCCTCCTCCTCCTCCTCCTCCTCCTCCTCCTCCTCCCCCTCCTCCTCCCCCTCCTCCTCCTCCTCCTCCTCCTCATCCTCCGCCTCCTCCTCCTCCTCCTCCTCCTCCTGCGTCGCCCCCCCCCCGGGTGCCCGCTGCTCTCCCCCCCATGGCAGCTCTCCGACGGGCCCCTGCATGGGGCCAGGACGCGGCCCCCCCGGGGGCGGAGAGCGCAGAGCAGCGGTCCGGGCGCGACGGTTTCCGCGACGCCCGGGCCCGCACAGTTTTTGTTCTGGGAGGGGGGGGGGTCTGCGGGTCGAGAGCGAGCCTCTTTCGGTTGAGCACTGGTTGGGCCCCCTCCTGCAGGAACTGCTTCTGGCCGTAGGCCACCAAGGTTGCGACTTCATGGGGGACCTGCCTCGGTGTTTTCTGGTGTCTGGCCCTGTAGGGGCCAGCGGCGTTGGGCGCCAGTTGTCGGGCCCGGCGTCGCCGCGCAGCGCCGGGGAAGGGGCCCCCCCAAAAAGCACTAATTGGGGAGACAGGGCGCAAGCGGGCGGGGCCTCAGGCGGCCGGAGGGCGCGGGGTGCAGGCGGTGCTGAAGAGCTTGCACAGGGAAAGGTGCACCTTGGGCAGGAGCCGGAGGCGAAGTCCCGGAGGGTGAGCGGTGTGGTGATGCCGTGCCCGGGCCCACACAGCCGACCATGGCTTCTCTCCTCGGTCCGCGGTTCCAGAGGCGTGTCGACCCCTGCCCTGGGGGTGGTTGCTGGTTGCCCCAGGTCCATGGGCTGGGTGGCCCTGGGGCCCAAAGGAGCGGACCCCCGAGGCCGAGACGAGGGATAACGTGCCTGGCACTGACGCGCGCGGTCTCTTCCAAAGTGCGAGGAGCGGCTAATGCAACAACCTGGGTTTAAGTGGGGCCTGTCCCTCTACAGGAGGAAAATTGCGAAGGCCTGACGGCCGGTGCCGCCGACCCCGAAGAGGACCACGACGTCGGCGACGAAGTGGGCGGAGACGTAGGCCGTGGAAGATGATGATGAGGAGGAGGCGAGGAGGAGGAGGTGGTGGAGGAGGAGGAGGAGGAGGAGGAGGAGGAGGAGGAGGGAGGAATAGGAGGACGAGAGGAGGAGGAGGAGGAGAGGAGGAGGAGGGAGGAGGAGGGAGGAGGAGGGGGGAGGAGCGTGGAGATGGAGGTTGGAGCAGGAGGGGGAGGAGGAGGGGGAGGAGGGGGAGGAGGAGGTGGAGGAGGAGGTGGAGGGGAGGGGAGGAGGAGTAGGAAGGAAGGTGGCGGGAGAAGGAGGAGTAGGAGTAGGAGTAGGAGTAGGAGTAGGAGTCAAGCTAGCCAGCTCGAGCGAGTCAAGCATGGCATGCCCAGTCCCACCCGCCCTCCCACAACATAAGAAGCAAAGCTGGCACAACTGGGGGCCGAAGTCACACCGGCCAGCCGGTTTGGTACAGCTGATGCGGCCGCGATGGCGGTTGCCGACGGGAACTGGCGAGCGCGTGTTGAACGCCGCGCACGCATTGCCAGACGAGTCGAGAATGGCCCGGTACACCGCAGGAAGCCAGAGGTGGCCGTGTCGAGAACGGCCCGGTAAGCCGGGTCCCATTTCTGCCATGCATTTTGCGACGTGGACGACAGGACGGTGCCAATGACGGCGACGACTCTAGAAGGATTTGAGCATGCGCTCGCGGCGACGCGCGCCGCGCATGTCGCCCGCGTGGTATTTTTTGCACAGGATTCGCGGCCTGGGTGCATGACAGAGCATCGCGAGTGCACCGCGCGATGACGTGAAATCGCTGGATTTGACCGAATTCTTAAGATTCCTATGGTTTTCCTATGATTTCAGCAAGAGAGCCCGGGCGGGAAATTTGTACATTTTTTTGTGAAAAAACATTGGGTTTTTGATGTTTTTATGTTGAAATGCTTGCAAACACACGGTGTTCGGTAGGATTATGACATGAACGCGCGCGTGTGCTCTTTGTGGTATTTTTTGCAATGGATTATCGCCGTGGACGACAGGACGTCCATGTCGAGAGGAAAAAAAAGAAAAATGTTGATTTTGTATTGTTTTTTACAGGTTAGGATGGGACCACCCGGATGGGCCCCTATCTGCCGGCCTGAGGGGGGAGTAGGAGTATATACTAATAAGGAATAAGGGTAGGAGTAGGAGTAGGAGTAGGAGTCAAGCTAGCCAGCTCGAGCGAGTCAAGCATGGCATGCCCAGTCCCACCCGCCCTCCCACAACATAAGAAGCAAAGCTGGCACAACTGGGGGCCGAAGTCACACCGGCCAGCCGGTTTGGTACAGCTGATGCGGCCGCGATGGCGGTTGCCGACGGGAACTGGCGAGCGCGTGTTGAATGCCGCGCACGCATTGCCAGACGAGTCGAGAATGGCCCGGTACACCGCAGGAAGCCAGAGGTGGCCGGAGGAAGCCCGACGGTCTGACAGGACACCCCAAAGCATTTTTTTGAAAAAGCATTGGGTTTTTTTATGTTTTTATGTTGAAATGCTTGCAGAAACACGGTATTCGGTAGGATTCTGGCATGAACGCGCGAGTGCGTTCTTTGTAGTATTTTTTGCACAGGATTCGCGGCCTGGGTGCATGACAGAGCATCGCGAGTGCACCGCGCGATGACGTGAAATCGCTGGATTTGACCGAATTCTTAAGATTCCTATGGTTTTCCTATGATTTCAGCAAGAGAGCCCGGGCGGGAAATTTGTACATTTTTTTGTGAACAAACATTGGTTTTTTGATGTTTTTAGGTTGAAATGCTTGCAAACACACGGTGTTCGGTAGGATTATGACATGAACGCGCGCGTGTGCTCGTTGTGGTATTTTTTGCAATGGATTATCGCCGTGGACGACAGGACGTCCATGTCGAGAGGAAAAAATAAGAAAAATGTTGATTTTGTATGGTTTTTTTCCAGGTTTGGATGGGACCACCCGGATGCGCCCGCTATCTGCCGGCCTGAGGGGGGAGTAGGAGTATATTCTAATAAGGAATAAGGATAGGAGTGGAGGAGGAGGAGGAGAAGGAGGAGGAGGAGGAGGAGACGGAGGAGGAGGAGGAGAAGGAGCAGGAGGGTGGCCGAAGAGAGGGCCCCAGCGGCGCCAGAAAGCCTCGATCTTCGAGCCTTGGGTTCGGAGTCCGCAGAGTGAGCAGGAGGAGGAGGAGGAGGAGGAGGAAGAGGAGGAGGAGGAGGAGGAGGCGGAGGAGAAGGAGGAGGAGCAGGAGGTCGACAATGGCGAGTTCGGGGGCCCCTTTGGCCGGCAGTGCAGCCTCTTTGCGATCCTGGGGGCCCCTGGCGGATCTCGGGGGAAATCTTTGGGCCTCGTGGGGGAGCATCGGGTGTTTCTGGGGCTCTCCCAGTCGCTTCTTAGGGTCTTTTGGGCGCGTCTTGGGGCAGTCTCGAGGCGACTTGTAGGCGCTCTTGAGGGTGTCTTGGGCCTCTGTTGGGCTTTTCTGGCGGCGCTCGTGGGCCTGGTAGGAGCTCTTTTCAGGCGGCGGGAGGCCATCGGAAGCGAAAAGGCGAGAAAGCCAACAGCATCGGAGTTCCTTAGATGTCTGGCCGTTCTCTGTGGTTTCTGTGGGGCATGCCGGAGCGGCTCGGGAGATTCCTGTCGTCGAGGGTTTGTTTTTGACATTGTGTGGGAGATTCTTGGACGGCCGGGGATCTTCTGGAAGGCTCGTGACATAGTCTTGGAGATGTTCGTGAGCTTCCAGAGCCGCGCGGGGTTCCGGAACCGCGCGGGGACCGCAGGGGCCACGAAGGGCTGCAACGGGGCCACGAAACAAAGCAAGGGGGCCACGAAGGGCAGTGAGGGGGCCACGAGGGGCTGCAACGGGGCCACAAAGGGCAGCGATGGGACCACGAAGGGCGGCCACGAAGGGCAGCGAGGGGCCGGACGCGGAAGGAGCGAGAGCGCCTTTGGGTGGCGACACCCCGGGGGACCCCCTCCGGGACCCCCCCCCCCTCGGGGAAGGGATCAAAGGGAGGGGGCTTCCCTTCGATGCCACAGATGTGGAGAATGGGCGTCCCGTCGATGCCACTCCAATGCTGCGCAAGGGAGGTGTGGACGGCGCGTCCGAGGCAAAGGATCAGACCAGACGGAGAAAACGACTCGAACGGCGAAGCCTCTCACACACGCCGACAGGGTCGGCGGTTTCAAAAATAGTCACAAAACAGTATAGGGACGACGTGTTTTCATTTTTTGTTAATGTTGGAGCATGTTTTGAGTATGTTGAAATTCTCGTCCAAAATCCCCCTGTAGGGGGACATGCCCGACTTAACGCTAATGGGCTACCCACGGAGGCGTTGCACTGGCCAGGTTGTTCCATTGATCGTGCTGTTGCATCAATGTTGCGATCCGGCAAACCCAAACTGCCAACCAAAGCAATAAGCAAGCGAACAGTATGTCGAAGGCCTCGGGATCTGAGGGCCCTGCGCACCACCGACGTCCGCCGCGTCAGAAGTGGGCGCATATCCACGCTCGCGGCCTACTGCGACGCCTTAGCGCAGGTGCCGCTGCAGTCTGAGCCGGGCTCCTGGTACGAGTACGGGTTGTCCATCGACTTCATCGGCCACGTTTGCGAGGCCTCCGGGCGGAGAATCAGAGGAGGGCGAGTTGAGACAACAGTAGTTGGCCTTCGGGGTGGGGCCCTCGTCGCCACGGCTGGACGCAGCTCGGAAAATTGGGGCGTTTGGACCCGTGGAGGGCTCGGGGGACCGATTTAGAACATCGTTGTTTCAATTCGCCCTCCGAGAGAAGTCTCTTCTATCAAGAGAGCAGACACGATGACCATGACCAAGGCTTCGCGAGATCTTATCGACGCCGATCTTGATCATGGGTGCATGCCGATCGTCGCCAATTCGCAAGGATGATCCACGAATTGAGGATGACCAAGATCGACCCCCACGTTTTCGCGTCCAGTCTTGGTCGTGGCCCCTGCTTTTTTCACTCCATTCTAACCCGGCCTCTGGCACTACCCCTCCCTGCACGACCCCTCGATAGAGGGAGGCGATGCTCGCCTCTGCGCGACTGCAGCGGCCCGAGGCCCGCGTTGCCCGGGTCTTGTGGACCACAGCGCGGGTGACAACTTCGAGGGTCGCGAGGTCGAGGTGCTTCCTCGTGTTTTGCGCCTCGGGGCAGCTCTCGGGCTCCAGATGGCCCTCCACACTCGATCTGGCGCGGAGAGCTGGCCAGAGTGCACACAGGGACCGTCCCGCGGCCCGATTCTGAGCAGCTCGGGCCGGCTTCCCGGGAGGCCCTCGTCGCCGCGGCCGGACTCCCCTCGGAGTGCCAGCCAGAGCGTACCCTAAAAAGAACTTGGAGAGTAGCAGTGTGGCAGATTTTGTGCCGCACTGCATTGATAAAGCGGCGACCCCACCGCGGGCGGTCAAGGTTGAACGCCGCCAGTGTTCCAGATCTTGCCGGTACCGAATGATCTGCCACATCGGAAGGTTGTGATCGATCAGGGTGAACGATCCGGGCGGTGCCAGAAGCTAGCGCCGACGCGTCAAAGCAAAGTAACCCATGGTTTTTCCCAACCCTATCGTGATGGGTACTTGTTTTGAAAAGGTCACTAGTGGTCGTCCTTCCGCCTCACACCTTCCTGGCCTTTCTGCCTCCTACCTCACTCCTGCCTCTGAGGCTCAGGGTAGAACGCCTTCCTTGGTCGCTGCCAACTGCGCATGTATCCCAGCTTCTGTGAGCTCCTGCGGGGTCCGCGGAGTGCGGTGTTATGCTCCAGTCACAAAAAGAACCACAAGAACAACTAATAGGATATTCTGAGAGGGCCCCTCTGGGTGAGAACCCAATAACCTCGTCATCAACACTTTGCTGTGGTTATGGTCGGTTCGGCCGTCCTGGGACAGACTAGATCTCGCCTTGTTTGGGCGTGGCCAATTTCGCAATTGACATGTCTCTTAAGCTTCTAGGGGGCATAGGCGTGCAGCTATCGCCATGTTCATGAGTGCCAGGGGGTCCAGCAGAGCAGTGCTACCTGGGTGCTGCAGGGCGCACAACTGGTACAACTTTGCCGCGCCCCAGAGAGGTCCAGCGGAGCTGGGTCTCGCGCGAGCCCTGAGACCTCGCCCTCCCTGGGTGCTGCCAGTCTGCTGCGCCCCAGAGGGGGGGGCCAGCGTGGCGACGTCCATAAGGAGGTCGCCGTGGGCTGCGCCGTTGGGACACCCGCGGAATCGGCAGCCCATGTCAGCACAAGTACTCCATGCTCTCCATACCGTGGGGGCGCGCATCAAGAAACCATGTGCTTTTCGTCAGGGTATCATGGGTTTCTTCGCTCCGCCCACTGCGCGGTGACTTCCCGCAGCCGTTGAAGAAGCTGCTGCCTTCAGGGCGCTCCCGGATTCCCCTCAGGCGCACCTCGCGCGCGGGTTTTCAGGGTTGGGTTTTTTGTGAGGGTTTCTTGCAGCCGCGCCCTCACTGTAGCCGAGACCGCGGATAACGCGTCCGTGATCCGCGGCTCGGGTCGGGACGCTCTCTCCCTGGGCTGCCAGCGAACCTGGAGAGCCGCGCCTAGACACTGGCCATTGGCTTCAACACGGGCGAGTTCCCAAAGCATTGAGGCATTAGAAAGTCTGTCGTCTTCGTCGCACCCTCTTCACCTTCGCTCCCCAGACCGTCTCCTGTCTGCCTGGAGTACTCGCGCTCGTACTCTTCAACATTATGACTCAATCTCCATTCTTTTGTGGATGATTCCCTGTATCGACCCCATGGCGCATGCAACCCCGATGCCTTTTTGAAAAAAAACAGAGAATTGCGTGCCCCGTCATTCACTGTTCGTTTAGGCTGCGCCCGTTGGTGCTGCCACTTTTTGCTGATTGGCTGGGTACGCCCCTGGTGCTCCCCCCTTCGGCCCCCCCACCCCGAGGTCGTCAGCGGCCAGGATCTGGACGCGTTCATGCGCCAGCAGCTGCTGGACCCCCTTGGCATGGTGGACACGCACTTCCGGCTCCCGAGGGACAAGCGCGACCGCGTGGCGGTGCGCAGCCATCGCGGGCAACCTTTCAACATTTTCATAGATTTTGTTGCCGCACAACGTCACGAAGGGCACATCTTGGGATCTAATACTGCCTCGGGAGGCCAGACGCTCCCATGGGAAGGAGTCGACACTTCCAGGAGGGCGTGTGAACACCAAAACAATCGCGCCAGAGCTGAAGAAAGGGGGCCCTGGTGGAACTGGGTTCTATGTTTGCTTGCCGTTTTGGGGCCCATGGAGGATGATACCACCTCCGTCTGCGCGGACGATAACTCCCCCCCCGTTTGGCACCGGGTAGGGATAGGAGGGGTTCAACCCTCCCTCCTTTGGCGCTGGCCAGCGACAGCGACGATGACGGAGACCCCCCTTGGCGCTAATTAGCAAGCGACGACGACGACGACGACGACAATGACACCACCCTTTTGGCGACGGCAGACGAAGACGACCATGACGACCACGACGACCACGACAACACGACGACCACGACGACGCCCACGACGACGACGTCGACGACGTCGACGACGACGACGACGACGACGACGACGACGACGACGACGACATCGACGACGACAACGACGACGACGACCATCGACGACGACGACGACAATGACACCCCCCCCTTTGGCGACGGCAGACGAAGACGACCATAACGACCACGACGACCACGACCACGACAACACGACGACCACGACGACGGTGACGACGACGACCACGACGACGACGACGAAGACGACGACGACGACGACGACGACGACGACGACGACGACGACGACGACGACATCGACGACGACAACGACGACGACGACCATCGCCAGGGGGCGGGGGTTCGAACCCTCCCCGCCCCGTGGCGCCGGCAAGCGAGGACGACGACGACGACGACGACGACCACAACCACGACTACGACCACGACGACGACCACGACCACGACCACGACCACGACGGCGGCTGGCGCCAGGGGGTGAGGAGGTGAAAGGGAATTTGAACCCTCCACCCCCTTGCCGTGCCCCGCCCCTTGCCTCGCGCGAGGGGTGGAGTTGTGGAGAAGGGGTTCTGCGTGAAGTGGGGCGGTCCAGTTCCGACGGGTGTATTGGGATCTTGGGGGGGGAGGGGGTCCAGCTTCCGACATGTCGAGGAATGACTCGCATCCAAAGCCAAGTCAAACACGTTGTTTCATTCGTTACGTGTGTGCGTTGGGGTCTGAGGTTTGCTCACCTTCGCGCGACGCTTGCAGGTGCGATTTTCGTCCTGCCTGCCGTTGTTACGCTGTTTTTGTCCTTCTCCAGAGAGTTGGGCTGGAGAAAAACGGAGCTACCTCTTTTCAACGGGCTTTGAACCACCTGCTTATGAGGGGACCCGCCTCCTCCTCTTCCTCCTCCTCCTCCTGCTTCCCCTCCTCCTCTTCTCATCAGGTGCTGTACAAGGCCGAGGAGTCCTCTTCGAGCAGCGTCGGACGGGGCGGTGCCGCAGAGGAGCAGGAGGAGAAGGAATGGGCGGACACGGGCGAGGCGATCGTTTCGAGTCCCGTCGGGGTAACTGCAGTGGGAGTCCGAGGAGGACGAGGAGCACGAGGAAAGGGAGGAAGAGGAGGAGGAGAGGGAGGCAGGGATAGCTGTGAGGCAGAGGAGGAGGACCAGAGTGACAATCCAGGATGCGTAGACGGTGCTGCAGCACACCCTCTGTCCCCGAGGGCCTGCCCCACGAGTCCCTGCAAGCATGACCTTCCCGCTGCGGGAAGCGCCCCTTGGAAGGCGGGCGCCCCGTGGGCAGGCCATTTCGGCGGGACCTCCTCCTTCTCCTCCGCCTCCTCCTGCGCCTCCTCCTCCTCCTCCTCCTCCTCCTCCTCCTCCTCTCTCTTCTCCTCCTGTCACTCCCCCTCCTCCTCCTCCTCCCCCGCTTTTTGTGATGTCCCACAGCCCTCGCTGTTGCGGATAAGAGTGATGGGGAGGGGGGCGTTGCCGCAGTCGGCGATGCTCGCAAGCAAGTTTGGAAGGAACCCTGCCGCGAACACTTCCTTCAACGCTCTGCGGCGTGAGCCCGCCGCAGGCGCCGATGTGTTGTCGAAGCCAGGTGGTCGGGCCGCGGGCGGGTCGCGGGTGAATCGCGGGCATGTCGCGGGCGGGTCGCGTGTGGATCGCAGGTGAGTCGCGGGTGGGCCGCGGGCGGGTCGCGAGCGGCTCGCGGTTGCGTCGCGGTGGTCGCGGGCGGGCCGCGGGCGAGGTCGACGATCGACGACGATTGTTTTACCAACGTGCGCAGTGTGCCTACATGCAACATGCATCCATCACGATAGATCTTCCCTCCATGGGGAGATCACTGTGTGCATCGGGGGCCCGACGTGCCCTCACCCAGGCCTCCCGCCCAATGAGGGTGGAGCCAGCACGTCTTCCGATGGCAGGTCACGGCCTTCGGCTCGCACGGCAGATGCGCAGACGCAGCACAGATGCCGGGAGGGGTGAAGCCGCACGCCACAGTACATTCGCGATTCGAAGCGCTCTAAGGGGGGGGGGAATTGTGCGGGGTCGTAGCAGCATGTCCATTCTGCAAGGAGAAGAGGTGGGGAAGGGGCAGAGCGAGCAGAAGTGGAATGCGTGGGGGTCCTCTGGGGGTTTCCGCTGCTGCACTGGCGGCCGCTGGGAGCATCCGATGCTGACCCTGGGCATCTTGGGAATCGGCTGAAGGCCTTCAGGGGTACTCTCTGGAGCTTCTGGGGCCTCTTCGGAACTGTGCGAGTGTGTGTGTGTGTGTGTTGTGTTGTGTGTGTGCGTGTGTGTGTCTGTTGTGTGTGTGTGCGTGCGTGCGTGTGTGCGTGCTCGCGTGCGTGCGTGCGCGTGTGTGTGTGTTGTGTGTGTGTGCGTGTGCGTGTGCGTGTGCGTGTGCGTGTGCGTGTGCGTGTGCGTGTGCGTGTGCGTGTGCGTGTGCGTGTGCGTGTGCGTGCGCGTGCGCGTGCGCGTGCGCGTGCGCGTGCGCGCGCGTGCGTGCGTGCGTGCGTGCGTGTGTGTGTGTGTGATTGTGTGTGTGTGCGTGTGCGTGTGCGTGTGCGTGTGCGTGTGCGTGTGCGTGTGCGTGTGCGTGTGCGTGCGCGTGCGCGTGCGCGTGCGCGTGCGCGTGCGCGTGCGCGTGCGCGTGCGCGTGCGCGTGCGCGTGCGCGTGCGCGTGCGCGTGCGCGTGCGCGTGCGTGCGAGCGTGCGTGCGTGTGTGTGTGTGTGTGTGTGTGTGCGTGTGTGTCTTTGTTTTCAGGCTCTTCGGGGGCTCCTCGGACAGCGTTGTGGCGCCCTCTAAGCCCGTCCCAGGGCGGGCGCGCGGGAAACGCCATCCCTCTGATGAGAGAATCGACTGTTCACAATTGCCGCCTTCCGTCCCTATATTTGTTTGTATAGCTTCAGGCTGGGCGCGTCCCTAAGCGAAACTTGCTTGTTCAATCGACATGCGCTCCACCTGCGCAACTGTTCGGGATGCCACGCTTCAGGATCAGAAGTGGTGAGAGCGTCTCGTGCGAACCGCTTGAAACAGCACCACAGGCACTTCGGGTGGTGTGCCGAGGAGGAGGTGCTGAGGAGGAGCAGGAGGGAGACAGCCATTCAAGGCGCCCCGTTCAAGCTGGTTCGCTGGGACAGCCCGCATTGCGCCCCTGGCATCCTGAGCGCCGCTGGGGGCTGCCTGAGCTACAAGGACCTTCCTTCTTTTCACCCTCCTCCTCCTCCTCCTCCTCTTCCTCCTCCCCCTCCTCCTCCTCCCCCTCCTCCTCCTCCTCCTCCTCCCTCCTCCTCCTCCTCCTCCTCCTCCTCCTCCTCCTCCTCCTCCTCCTCCTCCCTCCTCCCTCCTCCCTCCCTCCCCCTCCCTCCCACCGCCCCGTCGCCCTCGCCCTGAGCTACCAGGGCCATAATTTCAAGCACCTCGTCCTCCCGCCGGCGCTCTTCTCGCCCCCGCGCGAGCGCCCCAGGAGAGGCGGAACCAGGGTCGACCGCGCGGGCATTCGCGCGCAGGCCGTCCGCGCACGGTCTCGCGCGAGCGCCCTCCCTCCCTTCCGCGTGGCGTGCTGCGTCCGCGGCGGATCGCAGGCCACCGCGCAGGGTCGCTGTGGTGACCAGGGCGCTCTTGCGGAAGGCCCCTTTCTTTACGCCGGTCTCGTGTGCCACCCCAGTGCGGACGCAGTGTTTGGAAGGTCAAAGTCTCGCCGCTTCGCGTGTCCCCACCAGCCCATCCAGAAACAGATCGCCAGGCGAGTTGCCTTTTACCAGGGACGTGTGGAAGCCTGCAGTGCAACAACCGCCTTGGAAGCGTTTTCTCGTAGACCTCTTGGAGCCATCTTGGGTCTCTCTGGGCGTCCTCGCGCAGCCACTTGTGGCACTCTTGGGGCTCTTTGGAGGGATCTGGGAGGCCTCTTGAGGCAATTTTGGACGCACTGTTCAAAACGAGGGGGGTTGTAAATTCAGCCCCCCCCTCGAAGGCTGGAACATTGCGACTTCTGGCCGTGTTGGGGCGTTCTTGGGCGCTCTTCGGTCCTTCTGGCCCTCTTGGGCCCCTATTCGGGCTCTCTTGGGCCGTCTTGGGGCCGTCGTAAAGCCTCAAGAGCCCATCGGAAGCGGAAAGGCGAGAAGGCAAAACACATGAATGTTCCTTCGGGTTTGGAGCCATACGTCTTGGGGGGGTCCTTGGAGGGCTCGGAGGGCACTTGAAACCGTCGTGGGGCCGTCTTGAGGCCCTCTTGGATGTTTGTCGGAGGCGATCTTGAGCTATCCTGAGGTACGTATCTTGAGCCATCTTGGAGGCCATCGTGGGCTCTCTCAGACCCTCCTGGATCCATCTTGGGCCATCTTGGACGCTCTAGCCCCTTCCGTCCTCCCCCCATCGCAGGCCCAGGGGAGGGGGTATGGGGGAGGGATACACCCCCCCCGAGCAGGCGAAGGAGTGGTTGTGGAAGAGAGAAGAACAGAGTTCGTTAATCCTCCTGTGCCCAGAGGGCTGATGGTATTCATCATCGGCGCTGGCATGTCCGCGGCCCAAAATGCCCAATCCGGCACAATCCTGTTGAATGTTGCGCAGGCCCGCTCAACCCAGCGTAATGAAGCTGAACCCAAATCGTTTTTGCGAAGACCTCCCAGCAGTGGCCTCCCGACCCGGCCTTCATGACGTGGGCATGTGGGGCAACATCCGCAATTACTCGAGGAAGGAACAACGCCATCAGCATAAACTCTTGGCGCTCCGCGCGGATTTCTTGGATCCGCACTGGGCCCCCCAGGCGGCGCCTCCAGCGCCGCCCCTGGCGCGCTCCGCGCGCCAGAGAGGGGGTTCCAGCGCAGATCTCAGAAATCCGCGCGGAGCGCCCATAGTTTGTGTTTATGCCGTCGCTTCTTCTTCTTCTTCTTCTTCTTCTTCTTCTACTTGTGCGCGGCTCTGCTGGGCAATTTCCGCGCGGCTCTTCCAGATGAGAGATGCCCGCCCCTTCTCGCCTCCCCCCCCTTGGCTCGCCGCCCGAGGACGCGGGCATGTGGGGCACCATCCTGGGGGGCCGCATGCGAACCCTGCCCCCCTACCCTCCACGACTTCCGGGGGAGGGGGTGAGAGTTCACTTCGCTCGGGAGCTCCCGAGCGAAGTGAGACCCCCCCTCCCCCTCCTCCTCCTCCTCCTCCTCCTCCTCCTCCTCCTCCTCCTCCTCCTCCTCCTCCTCCTCCTCCTCTCCTCCACTGCCTCCTCTGCCCTCCTCCCCTCTCCCCCTCCTCCTCCTCCTCCTCCTCCCCTCCTCCTCCTCCTCCTCCTCCTCCTCCTCCTCCTCCTCCTCCTCCTCCTCCTCCTCCTCCTCCTCCTCCTCCTCCTCCTCCCCCCTCAGAAATCGTGGGGGGCAGGGGCAGGCTTCGCCTGCGGGCCCCCCTGCCTCCGCGACTACGCCCGCTTCCTCCAGATGCTCCTCGACGGGGGCCTGGCGGCGGACGGCGGCCGCGTGCTGCGGGCCGCCACCGTCCGGGAGCTCTGGGCCGACGGCCTGGCGCCGCTCGCGGACGCGCGCGGGCGCGTGGCCAACTGGAACGTCGACGACACGCAGGCGCACGGAAGCCACGAGGGGCCTGGGCGCAAGTCGGGCCTGTCCCTCTCCCGGAGGAGTCTTCCAGGATGGTCAGACAATGGTCTGGGGACGGAATTCTGCTGTGTTTGACCATTGTGGAGAATTTCCGGGGTACCTTTAATAATTCGCCCCAAATCCCTTTGTAAGGAGACATGCCCGACCTAAGCCTGGGCCAAAGTTCCCCGAAGAAGAAGAAACCACATACGCATAAACTTTTGGCGCTCCGCTCGGATTTTTTGGATCCGCGTCTGGGCCCCCCTTGCGGCGCCGGAGGCGCCAAAAGTTTCTGTTTATGTGTTGTTTGTTCTTCTTCTAGTTCCACCACTGTCATAGTTAGGACGGGGGAGAAGGGAGGATGCGGAGATTCTTATCCTCTTCCTCCTCCCGCTCCTTCGCCTCCTCCCTACTGCTCCTCCTCCTCCTCCTCCTCCTCCTCCTCCTCCTCCTCCTCTTCCTCCTTTTCCTCCGCTCCTGCCTATGGTTTCGGTGGTGAAAAATCGGCCCATCACGACAAACTACATCTGCTGAAACTGTCGGAGTTCTGCGCGGATTTCTCGGATCGGCGACGGACCTTTCGTCCGAGCCAAGAGGCTCAAAAAGCCCGCGCGAGTCCAGGAGATCTGCGCGGACTCTCGACTGTTCATGTTCAGAAACACCCTGCTTGCCTGCAGTGTGCCCTGGGTCTCTTGGGTTTCGATGGTTTCGCTGTGGGAGGCGTGGCGTTCCTACACCGAGAATCCATGGACGTCCTGGGGTCTCGGGGCTGGGTTTCTTGTAGGAGGTTTCTCCTGGACTGGCCTCCACTGTATGTCTACGCAGCTGTTCCTTCCTCTAGGCGCAGGCCCTGAGATCTGTGCGTCCCGCTTTGTTTCCGCGCCGGGCGTTTTCGCCGTGTGTCCCTCGGGGGCCTCGTGGGGTGGCCTTTGCCCCGAGGTAGTTCGTTTCAGTTTGCCGCAAGGAGGCGAGGTCGAGGGCTCCGGGTGTGGCGTCGGTGCAGTGCGTTTTTTTCCCCGCGACGTCGGATCTCAGGGGGGTTCGGTGGCAAATCGTAGGAACTTGGTATACCCTCTTCGATCTGCCTTTCGCGTCGACGCGCGTCGATTAGCGTCTGGGAGTCGATGAGATAGCGCCGATTTAGGGTCGATGAGCGTCGATTTAGCGTCGATTGGCGTCGATTCGCAAGAGACGACGAGATTGTATGGGAGGCTCCCGTGAGTTGCCACCGAAAGTGGGGCGGCCAGGAAAAAGCCCACAGAACAGTCACCTCGGGCGCTCCGGGCGGTCTGCTCTACCCGCGCGGTTGCCGCCGCCCCCTTCAGCGGCCACGGCTTGCTTTGCACGTCAGGGAGGGGGGTGTGGGGGGAGCCACAGGCGAACCCTTCCCCTGCCCCCCACGATTTCTGAGGGTGAGGGTGGGGTTCACTTCGCTCGGGAGCTCCCGAGCGAAGTGAAACCCACCCTTCTGAGAAGGCCTTCTCCTTCTCACTTCCCCCCCTCGCTCTCCGCCGAGAGAGAATTGGGCATGCGCGTCCGAGGGGCTTACGTCATCATCGCGCCTCCCCACTAGTCTGTTTCGACGGTGCGCTGAAGTCCGGCCTGTCCTTCTACAGGGGGAATCTTCCGAAGCAGTTTCAAAACGTCGTCGGGGGACGATGCGTGGAGTATGTTTGATCCTTTGGGGGAGTATCTTCTGACTATTTGAAGTTGTCGTCCAAGATCCCCCGGGCAGAGAAGACGGGCTCGGCCCAGCGGTATCGGAGGGCACCAACTATACACCAACACCGATCCTGGGCCCAGGATCACCCTGGGCCCAGGATCGGTGTATATGCCTTCTTGCGCAAGGCAGGAGGGCGTATACACCGATCCTGGGCCCAGGGTGATCCTGGCCAGGATCGGTGTTGGTGTATAGTTGGTGCCTTCCTACGGTGCGCCGCTCCCGGGCCCCGAGGGGGCCCTATATAGCCTGGTCGGGGGGCGGATGGGGCGGTGTCGTCCGCCCTGCGCTGCGCCGCCGGCCCCCGCGTCGGCGCGGGCCGGCCCGCGGGAGGCTCGTACACCAGGGGGGGGTCAAACGACGCGAAGATCGGGACAAAATCGGATCGGGATAACTCGAAATCTCTGAGAATCGGCGGGTTTGGAGGATGTATTGGGCGCCGCGGCCGCTCCAGAGCGTTCCGGAACGCTCTGAGAGCGCTCCGGAACGCTCTGGAGCGATTTATCCCGATCCTAGCCCTGTTTTAGGGGCGCGCAGCAAGAGGCCAGGTGCTTTCCATCGGGGTGCCCCGGGTTTACTTGCTCCTCGCGCTGCGCGCTGATTTCCTGCGGCCGTCGGAGAAGCTGCTGCGTTCAGGGTGCCCCGGGCTTCCCCCCCAGTCGCAGCCCTCGCGCGGGTCTTCAGGGCTGGGTTTCCTGCGAGGGTTTCTTGCGACGGCGTCCGCACTGCGGAGTCAACCCGCCTATCAAGCAGTGGCGAAGCGTCCTGGCTCGCCTATAGGCCCACCTAAGAATGTTGTAAGAACCTTCTGTGGTTTGCACCACATGTTCTCAGACCAGTCTTGTTTTAACACATCGGGCTGTAAGAACCACTGTGTTTACACAGTCTGTCTTGTTTTAACACATCGGGCTTATGTTCTAAGAACATTGTTTTTTGTTCTATGAACATTTCTTGGTTCTAAGAAGATTTCGTGGTAGCCCTATAGGAATGCCAGGACGGTCGGTCCCTGCTCAAGCCTAGAAAGGACGGGCAACCTTTTCAAGGGTACCCTTACATCCTTGCCTCCTCGGCTCATCCTTGGCCACTTTCGCTGGCCGCGCCCCGCTCGAGAAGCTCCGAGGTGGGCGTCCACGGCCCTTACATCCTTATCGCGCGTCCTGATACGGGCTGAATGTAGGGATCTCTAGCCGGCCCAGAAAGGAGGGGCCAGAGTCTATGACCACCTGCTGACCCCACCCCTACGGATCCAACCGACGTTGGGGTATTTCGGTAGCAAGTCAGTGGAGCCTAGAATACCGTCTGGCTTCCGTCTTTGGCGTCGATTCGTGTCGAGGAGCGTCTGGGAGTCGATGAGACAGCGCGGATTTCGCGCCCATTAGCGTCCGACAGGGATGGTAGTGGATCCTCCGCCGGGGCTCGCTTGGCTGCACATGCACTGCGTGCAGGCGAGGGTCAGGTTCCCACGAGCCTCGGAATAGCACGGGACCGTCTGCGCCGGCAGCGGCGCGACAGCTGCCCGGCAGCCCCCGCAAGCTGCCGCGCAGGGCCGATGTGACACGCCGCGCGAGAAGCGTCTCGTGCCGTCGCTCACCGCGTGGTGGCCCACAGCCGAGCACCTGCTCAGGAGGCCTCCTCCCGAGCAGGGGGGGCCGGCGTTTCCCAACCTTTTTTGCCGGAGCGCTGGCCCAGATTCTTGAGCACCCTCGTCCCTCCGGCGGGAAGAGACAACGCTGTCCCAGGTCTGTGGGAAGAGAGTTCGGAGCACCGGCCCAGGTTTCTGGACAGATGTTTCTCTCGATCATTTTTTCTGCTGTGGAGAGACGCATCTGTGATGGGCCTTTTTCCACCACCACCATAAGTTGGAGTTGGGAAGGAAGTGGAGGAGGAGGAGGAGGAGGAGGAGGAGGAGGGCGACGAAGAGGAGGAGGAGGAGGAGGAGGAGAAGGAGGAGGAGGAGGAGGAGGACCCCCTCCCCCTCCTACTTGTGGTGGTGGCGATGGAAAACAAGCCCACCAGTCTGGACACCTTGGCCCCCGGGCATCCGCAGAACACCGCGTCGGACCCCGCGGGCGTCCGGAGCAGAGCGCGGTGGCTTCTCTCTCTCTCTCTGTGCTTGTGCCGCTCCCCCGGCAGGGGCCGCCTTGGCCGGGCGGCTCCTGGGACAAGTGCGGCTGCCGGAGGGATCATCAAACATGCGCCAATCCGCGCGCAAAGGTGATCGTTTTCTTACTCATTGATTTGCCGATCGGCGCTAGCCCCCGCCCCCGCCCCCGCCCCCCCCCTATGGATCAAGCAGTGGCGAAGCGTCCTGTTTTCATTCATTGGGCTAATGTTCTAAGAACATTGGTTTTGTTGTTCGACGTTTTCTGGGTTCTAAGAACATATCGTTCTAGGCCTATATAGGAATGCCAGGACGGTCGGTCCCTGCACAAAGCACGCGCCAATCAACGCGCAAAGGTCATCATGTTCTCGTTCGTTGTTCTGCCGATCGGCGCGGGCCCCCGCACCTCTCCCTCCCCCCCCCATATGGAGTAGATCTTGGCTGTGTTTGGCGCCTGTTTGGAGCAGGGGGAACCTCCCCCGCTGGACGCAGTGTTGCAAACAGTCGTGTCAAGCAGAGCTCCGGAGCCAGACCCCCCCCCTCCCCCCCCCTTCCGCCCGATGCCGAAACGCCGAATGCGAAAACGTTCACACAGGTGGACTGGGGAGGGTCTACCAGGACGAGGACGACATCGGGTGAGGAAAAATCGAGGATCTCTGAGAGCCGGCGGCTCTGGAGGATGTCTCGGGCGCCGCGCGGCCTCCTCAGAGCATTGCGGGACGCTCCGAGAGCGTTCCGGAATACTTGGACTAGAGTTATCCTCGTCCCAGTCCCGTCCGAGAGGGGGGAGAGTCTTTTAGAAGCACGCCTGCTTTTTGGTAGGCGCTGGCCTTAGCCGTTGATGCAGGGCCGGCGCCTTCTAAGCAGCAGCCTCCTTCTGAGAAGCCTTTCCCCCTGTCTCCACTCCCCTTGTGCGCGCCGCCAATCTACGCCAAACCACCTCGCGTCTCAGTACGGCCGAAGTGGATGCAGAAGGAATGGGGACGATTACCGGCAGCAGGTCCAATCCATTTTGAGCAGGATTCGTTGCCGGTTTCTCCTTGAACGTCGGCCGTGGTTGGCTTTAGACAGCGTTTGCTGTTGGGCATCGTTCCCAGTTCCCGGGCGTGCGAAGCGTCGTGCACAAGGACGCGACGGAAGGTCTTCTGCCATTTGGGGCCCCAAGGCCCTCGCCAAGCCGCGGGACTGTCAAAACACTCGCCGGGCGCGTTCCACTACTCGCAAAATGCCTATTCGCAAACGTCCGAAAAACCACAAGCCTGTCTTTGTGTAGTTAATGTATCGTGCATCCCCTGCGGCGGATCCAGGCCATTTTTGCGAGCAGCGACTTTGCGAGTGGTGGAACGCGCTTGTCTTACCACGGCTCGGGAGGAGAGCCTGGCTTTCTGGGGACGCCGCCGATCTTCCAGGCCACCGGCTCCCCCCTCTCCTCGGCTGCCCTCGCGGTCCTGGCCAGGTCCCCCCCATGGGCTCTTCTGCCATGTTGAGCCCCCCGGGGGCCCTCGCCAAGCCGCGGGACCGTCAAAACACGGCTCGGGAGGAAACTGCTTGTTTTTCTTTGGATTCGGGCAAGTTTACTTGCATCGACGGGGGGGGGGGCTAAGTCTGAAGCAAGCCGAAAACAATCCGACGTGCGGAAATCACGCAAGTCGAAAGGCACTTGCACGCTCGTGTTCGATGGAAGAGGGGCGAGGGGGGGAGAGAGGGGGGGGGGGGCGGGGGGCGAAACGCCATGCAAGTAAGCTTGCCTGGATCTAAAGAAAAACGTGCTCAAAGCTGGGCCTTCCCGGGGAAGCCGCCGGAGCTTCAGGTCAGCGGCCCCCCCCTCTCCTCGGCGGCCCTCGCGGTCCTGGCGCCAGGCCCCCCCCCCCCCTGGCTCCAGGATGGGCGTGCACCACCACAGGGGGGAGGCCCTAATTATAGTGGTCGTTGTTGTCGTGGTCGTCGGCGTCGTCGTTGGCGTCGTCGCGGCGGAGATATCGTTTCCTCCTTCTCCTCCTCCTTCTCCTCCTCCTCCTCCTCCTCCACCTCCTCCTCCTCCTCCTCCTCCTCCTCCTTCTCCTCCTCCTCCTCCTCCTCCTCCCCCCGCGGGCTGGATCATGTGGGGGGGAGGGGGTCTCCGCTCACCGAGAATAGCCCGCTGTGGGCCACCCCACACGCGAGAGGATGTGCGAGCATCATTTGCTCAGGAGGACTGCAAATGTCAGGAAGTCGTGGTTGTGTTTTTTGTCGTGGTCGCAGTCGTGGTTATAACGCGGTTGCAGTGGTGATTGTACTCGCGATAGTAGTCGTAATCGTCGTCGCGGTCGTAGTCGCAATCGCAGTCGTAATCGTAGTCGTCGTCGTCGTCGTCGTCGTCGTCGTCGTCGTCGTCAGCGACGTCGTCGTCTCGGCGAAAATGAGTTTTCCCCTATTGCTTGACGGGCTGGATAACGTTTGGGGTTTCTGTCTCCCAGAGGATAACGCTGCCTGGGCTACCCTGCACGGCACAGGGATGCTGAGCACGTTTGTAGGAGGACTGCAAGTTTGAGCGGCTTCGCCGAAGGCCTTGCTCACAATCTCCTCTTTCATCTCACCGTCGTCGTTGTTGGGCGGCGGGTGCCGCGGATGAACAATTATTTTCCGCTATTGGTGGCCCCCCTTTTGGTTGATCGATCTCTTCCAAGATGGCCCAAAAGGCTCCCACAAGTGCCCCAAGAGGCCCCTAGGAGGCGACGAGGCCCCCAAGAGGCTCCCGAGAGACATCCAAGAGGCCCAACGAGGCTCCCCCCGAGGCATCCAGCACATTCCAGGAGGCCCTGGGCACCGCCAAGAGGCCCCCGAGACCCCCCAAGAGGACCCCAAGAAGCTTTCAAGAGACATCCGAAGAACCTTTGAACCGTCAAAGAGGCCTCTTGCCTTTCCGCGCCTCCTCCTCCTCCTCCTCTTCCTGTTCCTCCTCCTCCTTCTCCTCCTCCTCCTCCTCCGCATCATCATCAGTCTATGTATCTTTTTTCATCTTCCATCATCCCCCTCCTTCTCCCCCTCCTCCTCCCCTCCTCTTCCCCCCTCCTCCGATTCCTCCCCCGTCCTCCCCCTCTTGGGGTAATTAATTACGACGGCTTCCCTGGCCCTTCATTCCACTGCATGTTCCCCCACACCCCTGATCAGGGCAACTCGCCCAGTCACCGTTTCTGGATGAGACGGCGGGGTGAACGCGAAGCGCCCAGAATGTTGTCTCCATCCGCGGCCCCAGTGGTTTCGTGACCCCCCCGCCAGGAGCAGCGTTCCTCTCTCAACGAGCCGTTTCCGACGCCCTCCACCCCGGGAGGTCCCAGAGGGGCCAGGGGCAGCCAGAAGCTTGGATTCTCGATCCTAGATGGGATCAGGGTCAACAATCGGGGGGGATACAGTGGAAACCCATGCCAAGAAACACCCTGCTTGCCTCCAGGGTGTCCTGTGTTTCTCGGGTTTCTATGGTTTTGCAGTGGAAAGCGTGACGTTCCCACACCTAAGGTCCATGGACGTCGTGGGGTCTCAGGGTTGGGCCGGGTTTCTTGTTGAAGGTTTCTTGTGGTCGAGTTCTTGCTGTAGGCTCATTAAGGGATGCATGGGCCACCCCAGTGGCCCGCCCCGCCAAGCGGAGCGCGCACTCGCCATGGTCGCCGACATATCGGCGATGCATCGCCGCTTCAAGGTCGACGTCTCCCTCCCTGAGCCGCCCCTCTCGTAAGGAGCTTCGATCCGGCGGCTCAGAGATGGGGCTCTGCGGGGTTAAAACCCGGAAAACGCGTGGCCTTGAACGGAACAGCCTCGGCTCGGCATCCTCTTCCTGTCCGTGGGGCCCCCTCCCTCAGGATCCCAGTTTCGAGCCGCGGGTCGATCTTGATCCAGGCGGAGGTGGAGGAGGAGGAGGAGGAGGAGGAGGAGGAGGAGGAGGGGGAGGAGGAGGAGGAGGAGGAGGAGAGGAGGAGGAGGAGGAGGAGGAGGAGGAGGAGGAGGAGAAGAGGAGGGGAGGAGGAGAGGGGGGAGGAGAGGAGGGGAGGAGGAGGGGGGGCGGGATGGGGGGAGGGTCTCGAGGGGCGGGCGGGGCGGTGGATCCTCGGCCTCTCGGCGCGCGCCGCCGAGGCTGGTCGCTGGCCAGCACCCTCGTCCAGCTGAGCGGGGCGCCGCGGAGCCCGTCGCGGGGCCCCGCCCGGCGGGGGCACGCCATGGGCCTCGGCGGAGGCGGGGCCCCCGCCACGTCGTCATCCCCAGGGCCGCCAGCGCAGAGTCCTCCTCCTCCTCCTCCTCCTCCTCCTCCGCCTCCTCCTCCTCCGCCTCCTCCTCCTCCTCCTCCTCCTCCTCCTCCTCCTCCTCCTCTCGTTCTCGCCCTCTCGCCTCGGAGGCCGAGGAGAACGACACCAGAGTGAAGTCGGGCCTGTCCCTCCACAGGGCGAATACTCAAGACTGGGTCTGCAGTGCCCGAGCATTGAGGAATCGCTTCGCGGTCTCCTGAGTCGCAGAACTCTTCGGAAGCCCACCCGCAGCGGCGCATCCTCAGGCTGGAAGCGAAACAGAGTATGGGGACGATGTTTTGAGTACTTTTTGCATGTTTGGTGCATTTTCGGACTATGTTTCATCTTTCGTCCAACATCGGCCTGTAGGGGGACACGCCCGACCTAACACCGGAGAGCACCCGAGGCGCGAAGTTTTTGGCTCGCGTGGTGTGGACCTCTTGCCCTCGTGGCTGCGCGGGGTGCGCAGATACCCGTGGTTCCCCTGGGGCTGTTCCTGGGTCCCGCCGTCGGGGCGCAGTGCAAGCACTGTTGCGACGTTTTGTCCCTGGAAGGTGCGGGGGGCTGTCGTGGTGCCGTGGCGGGGATAGGCCCCCTCCGTCACGGACCAGGAAATACGTCTGGAGGCCCTTCGCACCTCTGAGCGATTTGGACACTTGTCCCTCCCCATCGAATTCCCATAGAATTCCGTCTCCTCCTCCTCCCCCTCCACCTCCTCCTCCTTCTCCTCATCCTCCTCCTCATCCTCCCCTTCCTCCTCCTCCTCCTCCTCCTCCCCCTCCTCCTCCTCCTCCTCCTCCTCCTCCTCCTTCTTCTCCTTCCTCCTCCCCCTCCTCCCCCCTCCTCCTCCTGCTCCTCCTCTGCTCCCCTCCTCCTCCTCCTCCTCCCCTCCTCCTCCTCCTCTCCCCTCCTCCTCATCCTTTTCCTCCCCCGCCTCCTCCTCCTCCTCCTTCTCCTCCTCCTCCTCTTCCTTCTCCTTCTCCCATGGATTTGCAGGGATCAGACCAGTTAGATACGATTAGATCTATCCGCTCGAATCGAGGCACATCGGGGTACAGGCAACCCGCAAAGTAAGGATGGGCAGCCTTCCCAAGGGTACCCTTGAATCCTCGCCTCCTCGGCCCATCCTCCGCCGCTTTCGCTGGCCGCGCCCTGCTCGCAAGGTTTCGACATGGCCTCCCAAGGCCCTGGTATCTTTGTCGTGCGTCCTTCTGATACGGGTGAAGTGTAGATCAGCGTAATCGACTTCGATTCTAACCCATTCGAATCGAGGCCAGGTAGAGGAGAGTGAAGCCAGAGACCTCCAGGGAAATGTGGAGCAACTCGTGGTCGTTGTTGCGCGCGAGTCGAGGGACAGCTGGCATCGACTCCCGGGGGCCCTTCCCAAGGCGCGTTCTGACCGAGAGGCCCCTGGGTCGCAGGAGAGGCCCCCGACGCAGGAAGGCAGGTCGGGTTCCGCTTCTCGAGCCTCCCGCTCCCGGAAGTATCCGGCTTCTCATCGGGTCGGACGAAGGACGACCCAGACCCCCGACTCCTCCTCCTCCTCCTCCTCCTCCTCCTCCTCCTCCTCCTCCTGATCCTCCTTCTCCTCCTCCTCCTCCTCCTGATCCTCCTTCTCCTCCTCCTCCTCTTCCTCCTCCTCTTCCTCCTCCTCCTCCTCCTCCTGATCCTCCTTCTCCTCCTCCTCCTCTTCCTCCTCCTCCTCCTCCTCATCCTCCTCCGTCGTGATGTTTCAAAACGTCGACCCCCAGAGGTCTGGACCCCTTCCCCAGCGCTGGTGCTTCATCCCGAGTCGCGTGTGGACGGTCCCAGGGCCAGGTAGGGGCCCCCGGAGGCCGATCATGGCGAAAAGCTTCCCGTCGTGGTTCGTTTTCGCAGCGCGAGGTGGTCTGGGGACGAAGGAAGGGGGGGGGGTGAGGCCGAGGGAGAGCTTCGCACACGCTCTGAAGCACGTGATGGCTATGGCACGCAGCAAGTGGGCGCAGGAGGAGGGGACGGGAGGAAGAGGAGGAGGGGGAGGGAGGAAGGGGGGGCCTTCCTCTTCTCGGCAGGGGGAGGAGGGCGCTTAGGGTGGAGAGGGAGGAGGAGTTGGAGGAGGAGGAGGAGGAGGAGGAGGAGGAGGAGGAGGAGGAGGAGGAGGGGGGATAGAGAAGAAAGGGGGGGATGCGAAGTCTGCTGCATGCGCCCGGCCTGAGCCCTGCGGCCAGGCGCGTCCCCCCGATACACCGGCGCCCCCTGGCGCTGGAAGGCGCCCCAGCTGCGGGCGCTGATTCGCTAGCCCCCTTTCGACTACCCCCCCCTCCTCCTCCTCCCTTGCTCCTCCTCCTCCTCCTCCTCCTCCTCCTCCTCCTCCTCCTCCTCCTCCTCCTCCTTTCTCGGAGGTGGACAGAACCCCCAACAGTGACACGTCGATTAGTGAATTGTCCGTTTTCGGTTCTCGAGAGGGCGCCGTGGCCGTTATTTTCCAGGCTTGCGCCCGCCAGGTTTGGGCCTCAGGTCGTTTTCACTAAACCACGTTCTACTAAAGGGAGGTCTGTCCATCCCCGACTTTCCCTGAGATCCGACGTCGCGAAGAACTGCAACATCGTGAACAATCACGGCCAGAGTCCCGGACCCCATCTCGTGTCGACGACTGGACATCCATCCGCGATGGCCCCGAAAGCCCGGGACCGCGCGGAAGCGTCGGGAGCTCGGAGCAGGGGTGACGCTGGGATCTCAGGGTCGTCCAGCCCGATCTCCGCAGAGGCGGGGGCGTCTACTGGCTCCTGGACAAGAGGCTCTGCGGCGAGCCCGAGGGGAAGTGAGAGGGGGCGGGCCTTCTCAGAGGGCTCGGAAGTCCTCCGTCCTTCTGGGGAGTTTTCGGAGTCTTCCCCGAAGCGCAGGACATCTTCCAGAAGGCCGGAGGGCTTCCGAGAAGCCCCGCCGCCTTCAGAGAAGGCTCTCTTGAAGAAACCGATAGGTGCTGATGCCACTGCGCAGACCTCTCTCGGGCCGAACGAAAGGGGGGGATAGGGAAAGGGGGGTTACGATATCTGCTGCATGCCGCTGGCCGTCGGGCCCGTTCCTCGATGCATGAGCGCCTCCGGGCGCCGGGAGGCGCCACGAAAATCAGCTCCGTGAGCTGATTCTCAAATCCCCCCTCTGCTATCTCTCCTTTCGCCCAGCCCGACTCTCCAAGGGTGCCTTCGGACCTGGATTTCGAGGCGACTCCAGCGGTGGCGACGAGGGCCTCCCAGGAAGCCCCCCAAGTGGGAGAAGACGAGGGAGGGGCAGCGGCACCAGTACTGATGGGCCTGTTTTCCACCACCACCACCATCAGTAGGAGGGGAGGGGGTCCTCCTCTTCCTTCTCCTCCTCCTCCTCCTCCGCCTCCTCCTCCACCTCCTTCCCCCCTCCAACTCATGGTGGTGATTGTGGAAAACAAGCCCATCAAGTACGGTAGGTTCGTGTCGTGTCGATTGGCGGCGACCCTTTCAGCGGCGTTCAACGTGGAACGCCGCGGGCGACCCAGGATCTTTCGATGTGGAACGATTTGGACGTTTCGGAAGTGGCCGATCGTTCAAGGTTGAACGATCCCCGCGGTGTCAGGAACCAACGCCTGGGTCGACACGGCACGAACCTGCCGTACCCTTCCCCGCTCTGGTCTTCTGCTTCTCGCTCTTTCCTCAGGGGCGGCCTGACCGACCCCCAGCAAACCATCCATTCCCTGCCGCGACGTCCTCCTCGCCTCGCCCCGGCACGTATGTCCGCGGCCGGAGGGGCGCTCGAAAGGCGAGGGTGACGAGGAGGAGGAGGAGGAGGAGGAGGAGGAGGAGGAGGAGGAGGAGGAGGAGGAGGAGGAGGAGGAGGAGGAGGAGGAGGAGTCACGGAAGGGGGTGGTTTGCTCGAGGTCGGTTCGGCCGCGCCCGAGTTGCCCCGTGGCACGCCGCCGGGAGGCGGCAGCTCGTGGCGCTGTCCTTCCAGCAGAGCTTCGAAGGGCCGCGCGGCGCGGACGACGGGCTCGGGCCGCCTGGCAACGACTGCACGGACCTCGCCGTGGAGGCTCGGGTCCTCGAGTGGTGGGCCTGTTTTCCACGACCGCCACCCTAAGCTGGAGGGGGGAGGGGGTCCTCCTCCTCCTCCGCCTCCTCCTCCGCCTCCTCCTCCACCTCCTCCTCCTCCTTCTCCTCCTCCTCCTCCTCCTCCTCCTCCTCCCTCCTCCCTCCTCCTCCTCCTCCTCCCCCTCCTCCTCCCCCTCCTGCTCCTCCTCCTGCTCTTGCTCCTGCTCCTCCTCCTCCTCCTCTTCGTCCTCCTCTTCCTCGTCCTCCACATCCCTTCCCCCTCCAACTTATGGTTGAGTGTGGTGGTGGAAAACAGGCCCATCATCGAGGCTGTGGCCTGAGATCCTCAGGTGAGGAAAGGTCCCTTAACACATGTAACCCCCCCTCGTCCCACCCACCTGCCCCCCGTAACGGTCACGCCCCGGCCCGGTCCAGTGCGCGATCCCTCGCAGCCTAGGGCTTGTGGTGCACGCGGGCTCTACTGGTGCACGAGGGAAAGGCAGCGGAATCGGTAACCCATACCGTGACCCTGTTGCCCGTTTTCTTTTCTTCGGCCTCCTGGGAGGCCCTCGTCGCCACCGCTGGATTGGATTCGAAATCGTGGTCAGGACGCACCCTTGGAGAGGTCCAGGGAGTAGCGGTATCAATACCTTGTGGTCTCCCCAGGTCCGGGAGGAAAGGTACCGATGCCGCCATGTTTCCCTTTTCCTCTTTTGGGGGCCTCCTGGCAGGCCCTCGTCGCCTCCGCCGGTCTCGCCTCGGAATTCAGGTCCGAACGCGCCCTGGGAGAGGTCCATTGAGTAGCGGCATCGGTACCTCGTATTTTCCCCCGAGGTCTTGGCGTTGCATTTTGTTGCCATGAGCAATTGTTTCTCTTTATCGGCCACCCCTAGGTATGCTCGCTTCGTGAACAAAGTCAGGACGGACGGTGTGCGGCCACGTTCGGCCCCAGGGGGCCCTCGCCTGTCTCTCGTGGTGAAACAATCGCGACGGATGGTGATTTCTGTTCCATTTGCGGTCCGCGGAGGTCCTCGCCGGGCCCTGGGGCCCTGAGGAAGAACCGTCCGTGGGGCCCCGGGGTAAGCGTCGGGACATCCAGGGGGCCGCATCGTAAAAATCATCGGCCTTGAGAGCCGGCGCGTTGCCCTTTTTCCAACAGCGGGCGTTTTCGCCCGTCTGCGGGACGTCGGACCATCACAGGTCAATCCAGCTCTCAACCATGGCGCCGAAGGAAGGTGGGGGCCCAGGGCTCCGCTCGTATGATTGATGTTGCGATTTTGCAAGAGGGGAGGGCCAAAGTTGTCGGACGTTCTCGGGCCTCGGGGCCTTGTGGGATGCCCCCGCGGTCTCGGCCAGGTATCTCCCGAGACCGGCCAGAGCGCCCTCCAGGAGTGGCCTGGCCAGCAGGGTCGCAGTCATTTGTCGATCGAGGTTAGGCGATAGTCGTTCGTCGTCGTCGTCGTCGTCGTCGTCGTCGTCGTCGTCGTCGCTGTGGAGGCGGTCGACAAGGCGGCCGCCAAGTCCGCGCGAGCGCAGCCGAGGGCGACCCGGAGGGCCTGATGACTGGTGGTTGCACGTGCGGTCGCCGCAGGGCTCGCTTTGCTCCCCTGGTGCGACCGCGCGTGGGTAGGTCGTGGAGGGAGCTCGTGGAGCTCGCAGGGAAAGCTATCAGCAGCGCCCCCGTCCTCATCGCCTCCCTCCGCCTCCCTCGTCCCACTCCCCCGTCCCTTCCTCCGTCCCCTCCTCGCCGACGCCGGTGCTACCGACGCCCACGCCGACGACGCCACCGAGGCCGCCCATGACGCCGATGCCGACGACTTCGCCGGCGCCGCTGCCGCCGCCGCCGGCGCCGCCGACGCCTACGACGCCGCCGACACCGCTGCCGACGGCGGCGAGAACTCCTCTTGGGGGCAGCGTTAAAACGGGCATGCTCCTCGACATGGCGAATATGCACAAGCAGTCGAAACATAGTCTGGGGACGATCTCTTGCGGATGCTTGTGTGAACGGTTGTGCATCTCTTCTGGCTCTCTGTCACTGTCATACAGAAGCCGCCTGTATAGGGGGACATGCCCGGCCTGAGGCCAGCGCGTGGGACGGAGGCCGCCCTTCGGCGGGCCGCGGAGCGCGGGCCGCCGCCGAGCGCGGCAGCGCCGCCCCTCTCCGCCCCCCTCGGCGCGCCAGGCGCCGCCGCCCGGCGGCGCGGCGGGGCGGCGCGGCGGCGGCCTCGAGGCGAGCGGCGGCGGCGGCGCGGGCGGCTTCCTCGTGGTGCACGGCAAGGCCGCGCCGCGCCGGGGGGGGGGGGGGCCGCCGGCAGCCGCCGAGGGCCGCCGCCGAGGGCCGCCGCGGGGCGCCACCGAGGGCGCCGCCGCGGAGAGCGCCGGCGGGTGGGCGGCGTGGAGGGCCTCGGCCATGGAAGCGCCGCTCGTCAGAGCCCCGAATCATCAGGGGTAACTCGGGTCAGGGCTAACTCGGGTTCGTTTTTCGGGAATCCGAACCCGAGTTACCCTGGACCCGAGTTACCCCGGATAATTCGGGCGTCCAGAGCCCCGAATCATCAGGGGTAACTCGGGTCAGGGCTAACTCTACCCCGGATAACTCGGGCGTCCAAGCTCGTGGGGAGCTCCTCGTCGGAAGCTGGAGCACACACATGTTCATCGGCGGGCTGTTTCTCCATCCCACTGCTTTCTGACGGTCGGGAACAGCGTCGCGGTGGTGTGCTGCACACTTTTGTTAACCGTTTTCCCGGGGAAGCAATAAAAAAGGCATACTCAAAATCCCTTATTAATCGTCCCCTGGGTCCGGTTTTTCTAGGCGTCTTTTTTGTAACTGGGGGCTCCGGTTTATTAAGGCGCTTTCTTTGGATTGGAGCTTGGGGGGTCCGGTTTAGTAAGGCGTCTTGTCGAAGAGGGGGGGTCCGGAATATTGGGTCGCATTTGGAGGGGGGTCCGGTTTTTGAGGGGGGGGGGGATTCATAAGGTATTTGGAGTACACTAGGATCCCGTATACTCCAGGATCCGCCGTCCTGGTCCTGTGCAAGTTTCAGTGCAGGGCCCGCAAGAGCGTCGAGGTATAGAGTTAAGTCGGGCCTGTCCCTCTGCAGGAGGGATATTCAAAGAGCAGTCAACAAACAGTCTAGGGAACTATTTTGTGAGTATTTGTTTTGTCGTCTTTGTACATGTTTTGAATCCTTTTGTTTTTCATCGAAAATCGTCTTGTAGGGGGACAGGCCCGACCTAAATATAGAGCAAGGCTACAACATGGCGGCGATCGGGTTTTCGCGCGTTGCGCGGCCTCTGCAGGCCCGTTGCCCCTGCCCCAGGGGCCGCCCAGCAGCAGCTCGGGCCGAGAGGCCGAGCCCCACAGGAAAGGATGTCGAGACCCGCGGGGGCCCGCGTCACGACGCTGCTGCGGAGGAGGAGACTGTTTGTTACATCCAGCCGTCCTCCTCGTCCTCCTACTCCTCGTCCTCCTACTCCTCGTCCTCCTCGTCCTCGTGCTCCTCGTGCTCCTCGCCCTCCTCGTGCCCCTCGTTCTCCACGTGCTCCCCCCCCCCCGAGGAGGACGAGGAGGACGGACGACTGCAACACGGCAAGAAGGCGGAGGACGGGGGAGGCGCAGAAGGCCTGCCCAGCAGCAGCTCGGGGCGAGAGGCCGGCCCAGAGGAAAGGAAGAGGGTCGAGAGCCGCGGGGGCCCCGCGCCACGCAGCAGCGGCAAGAGGAGGGCGGAGGTGGGCGTTTTCTGATCAATTGCTTTGCCGAACGGTCCGGCCCTCGAGGAGGAGGAGGAGGAGGAGGAGGAGGAACAGGAACAGGAACAGGAACAGGAACAGGAACAGGAACAGGAACAGGAACAGGAACAGGAGGAGGAGGGGGAGGAGGAGGACGAGGAGGAGGAGGGGGAGGAGGGGGGGGGAGGGGGAGGGGGAGGGGGGAGGCTGTTTTTTGGCGCGTGTTTCGAGCAGGTGGGGTCCCTGCCCCATCGGCCGCACTGCTGCAAGCAGTCGCACGAAGCAGGGGTCCTGAGCCAGACCGTCCCCCCCCCCTTCCGCCCAATGTCGGAACGGCGAATAAAAACCAAAGGGGGCGCAGACGTGCAGACGCCCCGCCGGCGCATGCGATGTTTCGCGCTTCGGCTGCCCCCGGCAGGCGGCGCCTGGCCCTCCAGCCTCTGGCCCGCGCGGGCGGCGGGGCAGTCCGCCGACTCTGGTGCAGTAGCGAGATCTTCTCCTCCTCGTCCTCCTCCGCCTCCTCCTCCTCCTCCTCCTCCTCCTCCTCCTCCTCCTCCTCCTCCTCCTCCTCCTCCTCCCTCCTCCTTTTCCTCCTCCTCCTCCTCCTCCTCCACCACCTCCCCCCCTCCTCCTCCTCCTCCTCCCTCCTCCCTCCTCCTCCTCCTCCTCCCTCCTCCTCCTCCTCCTCCTCCTCCTCCTCCTCCTCCTCCCTCCTCCTCCTCCTCCTCCTCCCTCCTCCTCCTCCTCCTTTTCTCTCCTCCTCCTCCTCCTCCACCTCCTCCTCCTCCTCCTCCTCCTCCTCCTCCTCCTCCTCCTCCTCCTCTCCTCCCTCCCCCCCCTCCTCCTTCTCCTTCCCCTCCTACTGATCCTCCACCACCTCCTTCTCCTCCTCCTCCGTCTCCTCCTCCTCCTTCTCCTCCTCCTCCTCCTCGGCCTCTTCCTCCTCCTCCTCCTCCGCCTCCCCCTCCTCCATCCTGGGAAAAGTTGGCACCCATCTTCGGCACGAGCGAGATGGGTAGGGAAAGAGTGGGTACGATGCCCCTCAGCGGTCCTTGCTCACTGTGAAGAGGGCTCGCTGTCCGCAACGCCGCGGGCGTTGTCCACGTTAAGCAGAAGGCCGCCTGCCCAACGGCGGCCGCTGTCGGTTTTGGGTCACATGTTCTTGCTGGGCATCGTGCCCATGGTTTTCCGTACCCATTTCGGGCGTCCAAAGATTTGGTGGCGCCAAATGTTTCTGTGGGTCCCCCAGGCCATCGAGGGAGCAGAAAAGTGCAGAGGGGCACTCGCTGGCAGCTTGGTTTCCCGTTCTGTGTGCCTACTGTATTGGGGGCGCTCCCTGCACGAGCCCAAGCCACCCCTGACTCCTCGTCGTCGTCGTCCTCGCCCCTCGTCGTCCTCCTCCTCCTCCTCCTCCTCCTCCCTCCTCCTCCTCCTCCTTCTCCTCCTCCTCCCCATCATCATCATCAGCAGCAGCAGCACTATCATCATCATCATCATCATCATCATCATCATCATCATCATCATCATCATCATCATCATCATCATCATCATCATCATCATCATCATCATTTCTCCTCCCCCTCCTCCTCCTCCTCCTCCTCCTCCTCCTCCTCCTTCTCCTCCCCTCTCCTCCCCCCACCTCGTCGGCGGCGGGTGCGAAGTGCCACCCTTGCCATGCCCTGTGAGCGCGGGGCGTACAGCGACCGCCCGCATGCCTTTGGCTTGTGGGGCCGGCCACGCCCCCAAGACCCCAGCTTCTACAGTGCGTGGCCTCGGCGATCAGTGGCACCGGCCAGGGACTGGCGGGGGTGGAGAAGCAAGGACGCAGCAAGGACCCTCGCGCGCCTGGGGAGGGGAGTGTGTCCAGGCTTCCCGACGGGGGTCCGAATACATGGGGTGGGAGGATCGAGCCGCATCGCCGGTGCATCGGCAATGCGGCTCGATGTGGAGCCCGAGTTTCTCCACGCCGACCTCGCCGATGCGTCGCCGATGTGGCCGATTCATCGCCGGTGCATCGCCGATGTATGGGTGAAGTGGCGCGATCCTCCGACCCCATCTTCTCGTACCCCACTTGGGAGTTGTCCAGTGTGGATGGGGGGGTGACCATCGCCGACCCACGAGATCTGCGCGGATCTCTGGAAAGTCGTGCGGGACTTGGGGCCTCCCGTTCCCTCCTCCTCTTCCTCCGCAGCCAGTTTGGCTACAGCAGCCTCATGGGTCGAGTATGTTTGGCTCTGCCCGTGGTGCTTCGTGATCCAGGTGATGCTAGAAGTCCCGAGAGGGTTTCATCGAATTGACTCTTCATTCGAAGCGGCCACAAGGAGGTTCGTGGGGACTAAGCAATGGAGCGCAGCGTTGAGTTTGATTCGCGAAGCGTCTGTCACACGTTTGAACGTTAGCCCAGGTCAATACACGGCGATCGCCAGCACATTTGGGAAGGCTAGGCATTGGCAGCAAGCTCTCGTGCTACTCAGCGAGATGTGGGAGGCGAAGGTGGAAATCAACGTCATCAGCTGCAGCGCCGGGATCAGCGTGTGCGGGAGAGGCGGGCAGTGGCAGCTCGCCTTGGCACTGCTCAGCGAGATGTGGGAGGCGAGTGTTGAACCCAACGTCAGCTCTCCTACGCCGCAGGGCCCCGTAAGTGCGAGAAGGGGCTCTCAGCATCAGCCGGCCCTCGGCGCCCCCATGGCTGCTTCCCGAGGCCCCCGCCGAGCCTCGTGAGCTGCACGAGGGGGCCGCACCTAACGGGGACGCCAGAAACCTTCAGATCGAAGCGTCCGGGCGACTCAACGGGTTGGGCTCCTCGGCCGCCGCGACGCCTCCTCCTCGTC